CAACCCAGCGACTCTCCACCCTGCCACTCTCTCTGATCCCCTCGAACCCCATTCCTGTCCTGACTGCCTTGGTTTTTTCCTGTCTCACAGACACTCACCACCTCACAGACACTCCTATCCCAAAAGCCCTGGACTGGCTCACTGATGGAAATGCTTCTAAAGCTCTCCCTTTTCCCACTGGTACACAATAATTGAGGGGCACCGTGATGGTATCTCCTCTTCTTCCCCACTAGGGTCCTAGAGGCTAGGCCCCTATCTCAAGGCACTACTTCCCAACAGGCTGAACTGTTAGCCTTGATCTGAGCCTTCACCTGAGCCAAAGGAGACAGTCAATATATTCACAGATTCCCGATATGCCTATAATATCATCCATTCCAATGCCCACATATGGCAAGAAAGGGGTTTTCTGATAGTCCAAGGGACCCCTGTAATAAACGGCAAGCTGACTAAAGCTCTTCTTGATGTTGCCCAGCTACCGACAAAAGCTGCTATAATTCACTGCAAAGGCCACCAGAAAGATAAACAGCACCTACCTGAGGCTAACAATCAGGCTGATCTGACGGCTAAAGTAGCAGCTTGTGGGGAAATGGTCCCATCCTTTCTCTTCAACATAGCTCCTGCATATTCAGACTTGGAAATCTCTCAGTTCCAACAACAAGGGGCATCTAGGAAGGACTCATGGTGGTTTCTAGATGAAAGACTAATACTCCCCTCTTCTCTCCAAGCTACCTTTCTAAAAAGCCTCCATTCTCTCTATCACTCAAACTCAAACTGTCTTCACTTCCTGAGATCACACTTAACTCTTGCCATATGAGAAACGCTGCATTACATATCTCAGACATGTAGCACCTGTCAAACCGCTAACCCCAACTCCAACATCAGGCCACCTCCGTTCCCCACCAGGCCTGTGGATCACTCCCAGAGGGAGGACTGGCAGATTGATTTCACCCATTTGCCACCAGTTAGGTGCATACATTACCTTCTGTTGATGGTGGACACCTTCTCAGGGTGGGTGGAAGCTTTCTCTGCTACTAATAAAACAGCTTCCACCATTTCCACTTTACTATTAAATGATATTATTCCAGAGTTGGGTTCCTTGCTTCCATTCAGTCAGCTAACAGACTGGAGTTTACCTTTCAAATTATTCAAAAATCTGCCTCTCTTCATATCTCATGGCATTTTCACATTCCCTATCATTCCCCCCTCTTCAGGAAAAGTAGAACAGATGAATGGAATTACAAAACAAGGTCTAACTAAACTCTCCGCCCAGGTCCACTTAGAGTGGGGGAAACTCCTCCCTTTAGCTCTGTGAAGATTCACATCTCTTCCCTGGAAGCCCTTCATGCTTAGCCCGTTTGAAATTCTCTGTGGAAGGCCTCTCCTTTCCCCTAACCTCCCTCCCCTACAGAACTCCGAAGCTATTCCTCCTCCTGCCGCTTTCCCTCTTCTTACTGAAATGCGCTGTCACTCATGGACCTATGCAGACACACCTACCCAAACCACACGCTGCCTCCCGACTACACTCCGGCCTTCCAGCCTGGTGACTGGGTCTATCTAAAACTAGATGAGGCTGCTCTAAAGCCCAATGGGAGTGGGCCCTGCCAGGTGATGCTGACAACTCCTACCGCTGCCACACTCAAAGGGCACCCTGCTGAGTGCATTTTACTAAAATTAGTGACATCCCTAATGTAAGTCCACCTCCACAGGACCCACTTCTCTCAGGCTGACGCAGCTCCCCACAATACGAGAAGAACCACCCTCTCATGTCCTTGACAAGTCCCTCTCCATGTTATTCTAGAGGACAGCTACTGGTCTTCATCTACCCTCCTGACCTCGTCTCAGATTGCTGGCTCCAGGGAGATCTCTGTGACTTCACACCTACACAGATGTCCTTCTTTATCTTCTGCTTATATTTCATATTGTGTCACCCTCTTATTGACTGCACCTGTAATGCTAGCCCTAACTTTGGCCATAGGCTTGACAGCAATTGCCCCCCGCTGACTGGACCCATGGTAAAAAACTTCTCTTCACACCCTTTATCTCTTCTGCACAGGATGCCTTCCTGCTGTCTCCTGCTTCTAACCTGGCCCCCTATCCTGGCTCCAAGCCCCCACATACATCTCACCCACAGTTCCTACCAGAATTCTTACATACCTCTCATCAACATTTCCTCTAGCCTGTTCTTTGAGGATAACCCCAATGTCTCTTCATGTTGGATTTGCACACACTCCTCCCCAGGGGGCTGGCAAGCCTTCCCCACTTACACCCAGCTCTGGGAAATGGTCCATGGACTCATTTATGTTACAAGGACCAGAACCCTCCTAGCAGAACCCCAGGACATATATCTGTTCTGGAATTCCCAGGAAGAAACCAGCATGGCCGGGGGAAGGAACACCGGTATTGCAGAGGGAAATAAGTCCGGAGGACCCAGCTGCAGTACCTGTCCAAGGCGTTTTGCTATGGCCTCGCTAATTGGTCAGGCCCCTTTGTACAAGGTGGGTTCATTGCCCCACGATACCTGTGGCCTAGCTGTCACTCTCCCAGGCCCACTCCCTCCTGGCCACCACTGCTCCTCACGCTCAATGGAAGCGGCTGCAATGGCATTTACTCGTCATATTCCCCTGCTGCACAGAGCATGTGCTGACCATATGATTGTATGCATAGGACCAGAAACAAGGGCATTCTTTCTCTGTGGAAACCAGGCATACATCTGCCTCCTACCAACTGGACAGGCACCTGTGCCCCCGCCTGCCTATTGCCTCCTTTGTCCTATACCCTAGATCAGTCTCAATTTTCTGTTCCTACAACCCACTGTGAAGAGAGGGATTTCAGATTCACCCCCTTGATCATCTCGCTGGGTATCTTGATAGGGATCAGAACAGGAATGACCGGACTGGCCATTTCAGTAGACAAGACAAATAAAATGGATGGAAGATTTATCTCTCAGTCTCAAAGAAAACACAAATGACCTAGCACAGCAACCATCTCACGTTCATTGGAAGCAAAAGTTCTCCAGAACTGCCAGGCACTAGACCTCCTCACAGCCGGGAGAGGAGGACTTTGCCTCTTTTTGGGTGAAGAATGTTGCTTTTACACCAATAAATCAGGTGTAAGAGATGGGATCGAACACATAAAAAGACGTGCTAATGAGACGTATGCACAAGGTAACTCTGCCACATTTTGGCCATCTTTTCCACCACAGGCAATGTCTCTAATAGCTCCTTTTGTCCTCAAAATCATAGTGCTCCTATTTCTGCCATGTATAATTAACTTATTCCAAAAGTTCATGCAGGAACAAATAACCACTGTATCTCTAGCTATCTTGTAGGAACAACACAAAACTGCTCTTCAATCAATCCGGTCCGAGTATAGATCCTCGCTCAGAACCTCACCCCACATCTACACCCCGTATCAGCAGGAAGTAGCCAGAAATAAATAGGCACCTCCTTATCTATACTTAGAGTCAGGATTGATGGAACAAAGACATAAGCTTCAGCCATTCTTGCTCGTTGCCCAAAAGAGAAATAATACTGGAATTTATCCCTTGCCCTTGAATCTCAAGCCCTATTGTCTTCACCCCATGCTCTGCAATCTTCCCCCTTTAGGAAGCCAGCAGGCCAAACTTGAAAGACCAGTATGAAGAAATTCACCACTGCCTGCTGCCCAACTCTCCCTACCCCAGCCCAGCTAAGATATAAAAGGGCTCAGCCTGCTGGGGTCGCGGCCCCTGCCACCTGCTTGGTCTGCGAGCATGCTGGCAGTTGGTGGACCGTGGCAGATTCATTCTCTGAAAAAATTCGGCCTGGCTGTAGATTTGTATTCCTGCCTCCTCTCTGTTCTGCGTTCTTTTCTAAATGGCAATATGGGAATAAGTAAGTGGATAGACTTGGTTCAGTGTGCTGTGGCTAAGCTGAGAAAACGTGTTTGACGTGTCTCTCTAGAGCTCATGCAATTCATGCTGCTGGGTCCTGAAGTGTCTCCCAGCTTTTCCCCGACAGGAAAAAAACATATGTGAGCTCAATAATGACTCTCTTTTTAATGAATGCTATTTTGGGAACAACCTTTTATATCATAGAAAATAGCTCAAGCTGGGAAAATACCTAGAATAGAAGCATCTACACACACACCTTGCAAAGAAGATGGGAGAGTGGGCCCTGACTTCTCTGTGAATGCTGGTTCACGTGTGTGTGTTTTAAAATTAATAGACGCGGTTTCTAGAGCAGTTTTAGGTTTTTATAGAAAAACTGAGTGGAAAGCACAGAGGACCCTCTGTCAGGGGCTCTGGTTTGCCCTGTTGTTTGCATCTCACTGGAGTGTGGCTCCTTGGTTAGAGCCGACGTGGATGTTACAGTCCAGGGTTTGCGTTGGGACTCACTGTGCTGCGTGTTCTGGGGGTCTGGACGAGTGCCTGCCGGAAGCTATGAAGGTGTGGCCTGGGGCCCCTGTCACGGTGCCATGCAGAGGGACTGCCCTCCCCTAAGGCTCTCTGTGCTCCTGCTGCCCCTCCCCCTCGCCCCAGCCCCACACATCCTACTCTCTGCATAGATTTGTCTCTTCTAGAGGTAACCTTTTACATTCTGCAAGGCTAGCTTTGAATCCATCTCTTCCTCTGCACTAGGTATGCTGAGAGTAAATGAAATGAACAATAAAACAATCAAACATCCACAGGCAATTGCCATCGGTACTCAACACGGCTGACTCCCAGAGAGAGAGAAAGAAAGAGAGAAAGAGAGAAAGAGAGAAAGAGAGAAAGAGAGAGAGAGAGAGTTAGCTGACTCTTACCCAGCTGGCTTAGGACACTTGCACTCAGGGGAACCCCTGAACACCCTGGGGATCTTGCAGGCTAGGGGACGCTTGCTTCTCTTTTCTTCCCAACCTTGGGAAGAGAGATGAGCTTGTGGCCCAGAAGTAGCGAGAGATCACATCAAGAGGGCATCCCCAGGAGGTGCTCAGGGGCACTCCAGCCGGAAGCTAGGAGGGCGTGACTTGGGTCTACTCACTATCAGGCAGGCATTGATGAGCGTGCAGACCTTCCCGTCTCCCGTGTACGTGGGCAAGCAGTTACAGACGGCCTGTCCAGGAGCAGAGGCAAACAGGACATTACACAGAGAGGCTCTGTACTGGCTGCATGACTGGCTGGCAGACTCGGGATCTAGCATGGTCATGGTGATGTCAGAACAGTCGGCGTGTGCAGTGGGCATCTCTATGCTGGAGCAGCAATTGTCGCCTCGAGCTCTGGGGTGGCCTGTGGATCTATCCTGTTTACCATTCTTACTGGCTGTGCTTTCTGAGGAAGGGGTGCCTGCTCCCGGTGTAGCCTCCCAGGGGGTGGCAAGAGCCTGCTGGGTAGCAGCAGAGGCCCTGGTGGGATGTCTGCATATTAGAACTTGAACTTGTTGGTTGGGCCAGCCGGGGCCACTTGGGTGAGTTTTCACTGCTGCTCTTCATCTTCCTTCTCAACAGGCCCTGACTTCAGCCCCAACCTTTAGCAAGCTGCCCACAACTGTCCCTTGTTAGTTATGGTCTTGCTGCCATCTAGGGCAGCAGGAGCATGCTTGGAGGCTCAAAATACCAAAAGCCTCTTACGTTTAGTTCCCATCCCATGGGTAGTTTGAAACACTCAAACTGAACCCCCAAAATATGTGTAAGAAAGCCCAACGTGTGGTTTCCCTATGACCATATGCGTATGCGTGCACACTCACGATTCTTCAAGACAAATGCTCTACTATTATTGTTTGCTAATTGTTAGGTGCTTCAGGTACTTGTTTGACCTGTGTATTGAGGGACCTGGGACTGAGGTCTCTGAACAGCTCAGCAAAGTCGAGAGAAGCTTCTCTGGAGATTGGATTCTGGGCTCCAGTGTTGGATGCATGTGAGTCCCTGCCTGGCCTTTTGCTGTGCGCACTGCGTCGGAGCCGGGGGAGGCAGAGCTGCCCCGCCTCTCTGTGCACCTGTGAGCCCCACTCTCCGGCGTCAGAGACCTCACGGCTCCTCCACCTCCCCAAACAGCAGGGGCCTGTAAGACTCCCGTTCTCGGGAGCACGTGACTGACAGAGGGCCTAACACGGCGTCCTCTCTGTGGCGCCTTTCTCTCAGAACCTCAGGCAAAGCAAAACCTGTGGGCTCCTGGGTATCTGGAAGGGGAGTGTTCTGGGGAGAAATCCCAGGAGCTTTTGAGATCACGTGGTGTTTGTTTCTTCTCCCTTCCCTAGGCAAGCCCCTCTCCCGGCACCGTTTCTCCTCTAGCCCCTGATTTCTCCTTAAGAATGGCCTCTTTTTTTTTTTTTTTAATTAATTAATTAATTTATTTGAAAGTGTTGTAGAGAGAGGGAAAGAGAGAGAGGTCTTTCATCTGCTGATTCACTCCCCCGATGACTGCAAGGCCCCAATGCTAGGCCACGCTGAAGCCAGGAGCTGCTTCTTTCAGCTCTCCCACATGTGTGAAAGGGACCAGCACTGTGGCATAGCAGGGTAAGCCGCCGCCTGCAGTGCCAGCATCCCATATGGATGCCGGTTCAAGTCCCAGTTGTCCCACTTCCAATCCAGCTCTCTGCTAGTGCATCTGGGGCAGCAGTAGAGGATGACCTAAGTGCTTGGGCCCCTGCACCCATGTGGGGAATCCAGAAGAAGCTCCTTTGTTTGGCCTGGCCCAGTCCTAACCATTGTGGCCTTTTGGGGAGTGAACCAGTGGGTCGAAGATCTCTCTGTCTTATCCTCTCTAACTCTGCCTTTTAAATAAATAATTTCCTTCCTTCCTCCCTCCCTCCCTCTCTTCTCTCTCTTCTCTCTCTCTCTCTCTCTCTCTCTCTTTCTTTCGAAAAGCAGTGACCTCTTGCTCTTGCTCATTTGCCCTGCAGTTTCCTGTGTGGCCACAGCTCCTCAGAGCCCTGTTCTCAGCCTCTCCCCATGGGCCTGTGTCCACGCCCAGCCCTTAGCGTGTCTAAGAGCCACTGCTCACCTGGTTGGGTCCCGTCTGTGTGCATTCTGCGTTCCTGTCACAGCCACCATGGTTCTCCAAGCACGGGTTGATTTCTTTAAAAACAAACAGCAGGTATCTAGCGTGAGAACCCAGCCTTGTCTGCCAGCAGCAGCGTCCTGGGAGACTGGTGAGGAGGGCCAGCTGACCCAGGGGAGCAGGGTTCACAACTCAGCCACAGACGGAGCCCAGCAGTCGAGGCCTCAGATGCGAGTGCTCAAAATCGGCACGTGGGGGATGGGCTAATTCCTGCAGAGGCACAGTCTTGGGCTTAAAGCAGACTCTTTGTGGGGTGCGTAGGGGTGTGCACAGCCAAGGACAGGGGATCATAGAATCTTGCCATCCCATCCCACAGTGCTGTGGATGAAGAGATTCAAGAATGAAGAAGTCACCGCCCACAATCACCACAGCACCAGAGGGGCTCAGAGAAGCCATAGCAGATGCCAAAGCCAGGGGGCGCTTGGAGGAGGACAAGCTATTGCAGGGTCTCCCTGTTCCTTGCTCATGAGCAGCCCAGCAGAAAAAAAGCAAGGACACAGGCGCCTTGACTGAGAGGTCACACTTTACCCCCAAAATGGGGGTGAGGGAACAGAAATCCAGGCCTCGGCGCGACATCCCGAGAAGGACGTGACATCACTTGAGTGACTCTTAGGCTAGGAGTGCACAGCTGAAACTTCTCATGAAAAAACGCCAGACATGGCTGGTGCCGTGGCTCATTAGGCTAATCCTCCGCCTGCGGCGCCGGTACCCCGGGTTCTAGTCCCGGTCGGGGCGCTGGTTCTGTCCCGGCTGCTCCTCTTCCAGTCCAGCTCTCTGCTGTGGCTTGTAGCGGCCATTTGGGGGGTGAATCAACGGAAGGAAGACCTTTCTCTCTGTCTCTGTCACTGTCTAACTCTGCCTGTCAAAAAACAAAACAAAACAAAAAACACACACACACACAAACAAATGCCAGACAAACCCCCAGGAAAGGACAAGACACTGGAGGAAAAAACAGCTAGCGGGTGTGGGGGCAGGCGTTGAGGCGTAACTGGTAAAGCCACCACTGGTGACACTGGCATCTTACAAGGGCGCCAGTTTATTCCTGGCTGCTCTGTTTCCTATCCAGCTCCCTGCTGATGCGCCTGGGAAAGCAGTGGAAGAAGGCCCAAGTCCTTGGGGCCCCGTACCCACGTGGGAGACCCGAATGAAGCTCCTGGCTCCTGGCTTCAGCCTGGCCCAGCCCTGGCCATTGCAGCCATTTTGGGGAGTGAACCAGCAGATAGAAGATCTCTAACTCTGCCTTTCAAATAAATAAATCTTTTTTTTTAAAAAAAGAAAAAGTTGGACCAGTGGGCTATATTCTTTCCTAAACATCATTGTCAAAGGGACAGAGCCAGCCTGCAAACTGGCCCGGATGAAAGGGAACACAAGAGGCATGGAAACTGATTGCAATGTTCAACCACAATTCGCCTTCCAAAGTGAGTTTTGCATACCACGTGCCTTCAAGGATGACAGGTCATCTAAATATTCACGGAATACCCATGCCATGCAGGGATTCAGATTTTTTTTTAAACACCAAAATAAGCTTATTCTTTATTTCCATCTTTCCCCCATAAGCTGTCTGAAGGCCCGGCCTCCCCTTGGGGCACCTTTCCAAAGCCTCCTGCTTTCCTGCCTGGGAACGCTGCATCATGACCCCAGCAGTCGGAGTCCAGCGACAGGAGCCCACACAGCAGCGGCACCTCACAGGCTCTGACCTTGACGCCATTTCCACAGGGCAGAGAGGGCACAGCCACCTACCGAGGCACACGATGCCGTCGCCCGTGTAGCCCGCCTTGCACACGCACACCCGGCTTCCTGGGGTGGTCCTTTTACAGTAGGCCTTGGCAGAGCAGCCCCCATTGCTGATCTCACAGGCGTCAATGGCTGTAGAAGGGAGAGACGACACGGAGCAGGGATGGGGTCGGGGAGAGTTGCAGTGATGTCTTTGTATGTGGACCACTGAGATGTGGAGAGACTGCAGAGGACGCTGGCAGGCGCTGGGTTAAACAGTCACAGCTAACTCCCTAGCACAGAGGGCAGGACGAGCCTTGTGGTGGTCTGCCCTTTGTGGGTGATACGCTCCTGGACACTGGACACAGTCTACTGCAGGGAACACCTAGGCATCAGGGTTAGGGCGCCGGGCATCCCGGGAGGATGCCCAGGGTGTGGAGAGCACACTGGCGTGAAGCCTGCCAGGACCCAGGGCTCGAGAGAAACACGCTGCTACGAATTTCCAGATGTGGGTTAGCTGCTGTGAGAACATTTGCTCACACGTATTGAGTACCGTGTGCCAGGGCTGTTCCAAGCCCTCAGAGGGGTCTTCAAAAAGTTCATGGAAAAGGGACAGTGTGGAAAATCATGCATGGATTTCAAAACTCTCCTGCACCTAAATAAGCATGTGTTTGAGTTGTGTTTTCCATGAACTTGGTGAAGTGCCCTTATGTGAATCCCAGTTATCCAATAATTCAAGGAGAGAGGTTCTCTCATTATCTCCAACTTGTAGATTAAAAAAAAAAACAAAATACAGCAGCGGTGCATGGGCCCAGGGGTTAAGACGCTGGCTGAGATGCCCAGGTCCCTTATCAGAATGCATGGATCCAATTCCTGGCTCCAGAGCCAGATTCCAGCATTCCAGGTAACTGTGGGAGGTGGCTGGTGACAGCTGGAGCTGTAGGGTTTTCTGTCACCCACGTGAGAGATCTGGACTGTGTCCCTGACCCTCAGCTTCAGCCCCAGCCATTGTGAGCATTTGGGGAGTGAACCCCTAGATGACTTCTCTCTGCTTCTCTGCAGACCCTTTCTGCTTCTCAAATAAACAGAAAACTCAATAACATTTTAGAAAATCGCACAAAGAGCAGTCAAGCCAAATTCTCGAGGTAACACAAATGATGAGAACGTTATTCCAGAGGGAGGAGTCTCACGGTGAGGCTGTGTGAAATAGCTGCATTACTGCGCCATTATGCCTGGAGAGCTCATTTTTAAGGTCACTACAGATGAACTAATGGGTCTCACCGCAGGTAAAAGACTCATCCAGGGCCAAGGTGGGTAGCAGAGGATGCACAAGGGCAGGGTCAAGCTCTCTTTGTGCTACTCCAGAGCCCTGATGTGTCAGCCAGGCCCTGAGCTAAGCAAGTCAGTGGCTTTTAGAGCTGCCCAGGTGATCCCCACTGTGGTCAAGGCCATGAGCCTGCTCAGAGTGCAGTGTAAGTGTACCTTGAAAACAGGTGCAATTATTTGTCCAGCGCATTCCAAAACCTACAGGTCCCACCCTTGAGCAGGCAGTTTCCTAGCCCCAGGTACAACCAGCTGGCCCAATACATGGTAATTCACCATCAACGCTGGTACCAGCTGCTCCGGCCCTTTTGGTAGGAGAGGCACAGGCCCCTCCACAGCCTGGGAGAGCCTTGCGGGCCCCCAGCCAATCCCTTCCCCACTTGCCTGTACAAACTGTCCCGTTCCCTTGGAATCCTGCTGCACATTTACATGAGGTCGTGCCATCTGGGTTGAGAAGGCAGCTGCAAGGAGGAAGGGCAAATGGGGTTGGCACACAAACATTTAGCCCCTCTTCGTCTCCGACATCTTAGACCCTTGCTCCCACCGGGGGCCCTGGGGTCCTGCCTTAGCTCGGGAGCAGAGTCTACTCCTGTCCCGACCCCATGACAGACGGCTAAGCCTGCAGGTATCACCACAGGGTGTATGACTGGAGCATCAGCTCAGGAATGAGGAGGGGAGCTGCTGATCTCTCCAGAGCTGTCAGTGTGCTAGAACCTGCAGCAGGACTTCCTGCCATTAGCACACTGCTAAGCAGCCTTAGCAAGTCAGTCGTAGTATTATTCCCATGTACAGATGATGAAACTGAGGCTTAGCAGGATTTTTTTTTACATTTAAAAAAATTAAATTCCATATAGTTCATAGAAATTATTATAGTTCCTAGAAACTATTCTAAGGATGATAGTCCCATCCTCACTTCTTCCCTCTCCCTCTTTCTTCAACTGACTCAAGGCCATGCATCAGTGGAGGTGACAGAAGCTGACTTTGATGCAGGTCTAACCTCAGCTACTGGGCTCTTCATTAATGCATTGAGCAACTCTGGAAACTGGGAGTATGAAGCCATGTAAGGCTTGGAGATGGTCGAGAGCAAATCTTAGGGAGCTGAGGCCCCTGGGATGCCTTGGCCTCTGTGAAAAAGTCTCAGTGGCATTTTTGTCAATGTGCCAGCTGAGGCAGGAGGCAGGTGCCAGCTGAGGCAGGAGGCAGCTTGTTGACAAGGCTGGATCTTGTGAGTTGATGGAGGCCTCTTCAGAGGTATTTTTAGTTGCATACTTCATCGCAAAGCCTCAGAAATGCTATCAGGCAACTACTCCCTTAAGAATAGGGCCTGGAAGGGAAATGATTGGGAAAGAACCCCCTTAGCCCTCCCCCCCAGAGAAGGCCGAGAGGTACCTACTTGGCACTGGTGTGGCATGTCCCATTGCAGCTGTCTTTTGTGATGGCTGAAAAAGAGAACCAGTTGTCACATCAGTCTCTCCTACTATGCCTTACTCGGGAGCTTCCTTTTAGCACTTGTGCTAGGAACAGATTTACTTCCTTGGAAGCAGCCGGTATGCATCATGTGGACTACGTTAAACTATATGATCATGTATATTTTTTACTTGGTTGCTAGGAAGCTCAGAGCTGAACATTAAGGTTAAATATGGGGTTGGTGTTGGGGGATAATGGGTTAAGTTGCTGCCTGCAATGATGGCATCCCATATGGACACTGGTTCGAGTCCTGGCTGCTCCTCTTCCTATCCAGCTCCCTGTTAATGCACCTGGGAAGACAGCAGAGGATGGCCCAAGTTCTTGGGCCCCTGTACCCATGTGGGAAACCCAGAGGAAGTTCCTGGCTTTGGCCTGGCCCAGTCCCAGTTGTTGTGGCCAATTGGGGAATGAACCAGTGGATGGAAAATCTGTCTGTCTCTCCCTGTCTTTCAAATAAAAAAAATAAATTAAAAAAAAAAAGGTCAGATACCCCTGATGGAGGCACCCTCCTTTGAATGTGACTGTGGGCCCTTATGATTTGCTGTTGATGTGTGTGCCTTCCCTGGGTTTTGAGTCTCCACTTTTATTTACTTTTTTTTTTTTTGACAGGCAGAGTTAGACAGCGAGAGAGAGACACACTTTTATTTACAAATCCAATGTTATTTCTTTCCAGTTTTTCATTTTTATAATGGAGCGATATAAATAGGCATACACACAATTGTAACATTTAAAATGTTTTTTGTTGTTGAGAAATGGCTCAGGGTCGGAAACGATTTTTTTTGAACAAATTTCCAATTTTCCTGTAGCAGCAGGCTCTTGATATTAGATGTCCAGCTAACAGGTATTTCCTGACAGGGTGAGATCCAGAAAGAGAAAGTTGTGGGGTTCCTCTTCGAGGAGGATGCAGGAAGAGAAACCCCACTATCCCTGGCCAAGGCACACAGAAAGTTCGAACACAAGGACCTGCAGCAAAAGTGACATAGTGTGTCTGTGGGAACCCTTACATGCTCATATGGACTAGGTGGGTACAATGGAATTTTGTGCATTGTGCTGGTTTTTGAGCCTGGAAATTCTTTTCTCTCTACTCTCTACCTGTTGAAAGCCCAATCAGCCGTTAGGTACTCTTCTCTGAAACTGCCTTAAATTTTTGAGTCAATTTCAATTCATTGGTAATGACTGTGGAGGGAATGAATACAATGATTGATTAGTGATGTCTGCCATGGGCTTGGAAGTGGGGAGTTGGCATGAGGATAAAGGAAGGAGTGGTCCTCCTTACTGCAGTCTAGAGGCCCTGTGCTTTGTAATCCTATGTCACTACTTTTTTTTTCTGTCTATACTGAACATTTATTTCCCTATAAGACTGGAAGCTCCTTGTGCAGAATATGTACTGGACACAGGGGCTGAAGATGAGGTTGGAAAACTGGGTGAATGGCCTCTGAACTCCACCCTGTTCTGGAGATTAAATTTCTCTTGTAGGCAGAGAAGAACCATAGCAAGTTGTCACATTCTGGAGAAGGGGTGGGAAACAGGATCTGATCTAAACTTTGGAAAGTTCTCTACTGCAGCAAGGCGGGGGATATGAATAGAGGGAGACAGGACTGGAGGCAAAGAGATAGAGCTGAAGGGGATGGGATGGATTTGAGAGCCATGGAGATGTAGAATGATTTAGGTGTGTTAGTGAGGGAGGAAGACAGAGTAGGCGGCTCCTAGATTGGGTGACCAAGTGCAGGTGTAGAGGGTCTTTCCCAGAAGAGGTGGTTTGTCCTTGGCCCTTTATTCCTCCTTCAGGGTCTGAGGCTTGCACGTTTCTGTCTGTTCACCTATTTTGTGTCTCCTGTGCTTGTGTGTCCTTCTTGACCTCACTGCTGAGATTCAACACTCAAATTCCACAGTATATTCTACAGCAGCCATCTGGGGCCTGTCAGCATCTGCCCTGGACTGAAACTGCTGAGAGCAGGGACCATACTGTGCTCGTCAGAGCTCCGCATCACCAGGCACATGACATGAGTCAGGCAAGCTTCCGATGAATGAGCGAGCTGAGGCCGCCTGGGCCTCTCTACCCAGATGTTCACTGGCACCTCACACCCAACCTCCCCCCAGCTGCCCTCTTCTGGGATTGGCCCACCAATCATGCAGTTGCCTGAGTCGTAATCTAAGGATCAGCCTTGAGCCCTCCCTCTTTTTTCTTCTGCATCCCATTAGTCACCACCCCATTTGACCATCAAACATCTCCATTTTCTCTGCCACAGTCATGTGGCTCTGAGCTCAGACTTTGTTCCCTGAAAACTTGCCACAGCTCCCAGTCTCTGTCCTGTCCTTTTAAATGTGATTGGTCCCCTATGGACCATGGTCTTCTAAGCATATTACGCCAGCAAGGGGTAACCTACTGCACTGTTCTAGGGATTCACTCAGGATGTCTTCCTGTCTCTGTGCCCCTGTTGCTCCCTGCTGCCCTCTCCCAGGAGCTCTGGACCCATATACTCTGGAGTGCCCCTAGGATGAGAACATTCAGATGTCTGGCTTTAGCTTTTCAGCCAAGCAATAACTCTTTAGTCCTTGATCTTTGCATTACCTGGGCCGTTGGACAAAGACCACCCCTCTGACAGCCCCACATCCCAGGAGCCCTCCCTGAGCTGGTGGGCAGCTGTGATCCTCCAGCCCCTGCAGAGGAGTCTGAGACCTGATTCCAGGTGTACTCCCTCCAGTCGAGAGTCTGATTTCTTGTGAACAATGGGGGAGTACATCCTCTGCATTCAGTGACTGTGGGAGCTCTGTGACTGCATGAGAGGCTCAGGGTGTAGCTGGGTCTCTGGGCAATCAGTGTGAATGGCCCCACAAGCTCAGAGCTCCCTGATTCCTTGGGGTGGCTCATTACAATGGGATCCACACTCACATTGTGGATTGCACAGGTAGATGCTTTGGGCAGTGTGGCAGTACAGATGAGTATTGCACCCACTGTGGGCTAACACCTGGGCATTTATCACCTTGGAAGAGAAAAACTGAGGGTGTGATTACATCAACAGAGACCACACTCTCTTTTCTGCTAACGAGAGGAGATCCACCATGCCCAACTTGGGTGACACTTGGATACTCGTCCCACCCTGGAGGACTGACCAGAGCTCCCTGGCCACACACAGCACACACCTCTGGGTATTCACTGCAGATACCCCACTAAGCCACAGAGGCATAGTTCAAAAACAAAAGCCATCAGAAGAAAAAAACAAGTATTCTCACAAATACCTGAAAATAAAGAAATTCAGGAAACAAGAATAAGGAAGATAACATGGCCCCTCCCCCAAAGGTACACAATAACACTTCAATATTAGAATGTGAAGATGAAAAGATTGATAAAATACCTGAAACAGAATTCAAAAGATTTAACATAGGGTTACTCAGAAGCATTGAGGAACAAAATTGGAAATTAAAGAAATCCATGGGGCCAGTGCTATGGAGCAGTGGATTAAGGCCCCAGCTTGCATTTCTGGCATCCAATATAGGCACTGGTTCAAGTCCTGGCTGCTCTACTTCTGATTCAGCTCTCTGCTATGGCCTGGGAAAGCAGTAGAAGAAGGTGCAAGTCCTTGGGCCCCTGCACCTTCATGGGAGACCCAGAAGAAGCTCCTGCCTCCTAGCTTCGGATTGGCTCAGCTCTGGCCATTGCGGTCATCTGGGGAGTGAACCAGTAGATGGAAGACCCTCTCTCTCTCTGGCTCTACCTCTGCCTGTAACTCTTTCAAATAAATAAAATAAGTCTTTAAAAAAAAAAAGAAATCCATAGATGACATGGATGAAAAATTCTCCCATGAAATTGTGGTTTAAGAGAAATCAAAATAAAATATTGGAAATGAAGAATTGAATATGTCAAATAAAAAGTACGGTGGAAAGCCTGAACAACAGATTTGGTGAAGTCTGAATATGGTGAAGAAAGAATATCTGATCTAGATGATAAACCTTTGGAAATTATTCAATTTGACCAAAAAAAAAAAAAAAAGAAATTAGAAAACTTAAAAACAGTGTTAGAGATTTATAGGATACTATCAAATGACCCCACATGCAGGTCTTAGGAATTCCTGAAGATTTGGAAAGAGAGAATGGATTAGAAGAACTATTTAATGTAATAATTACAGAAAACTTCCCTAACTTGGAGAAAGAAAGGACCTCCCAGTGCATGGGCACATAGAACTCTTTAAAGACATGACCAGCAAAAATCTTCAACAGGACACTTTGTAGTCAAGCTTTCAACAGCAAAACAAAAAGAAACTATTCTAAAATGTGCAGGAGAGAAACTCCTGATTACTCTCAGAGGATCTTCAGTTAGACTCACAGCTGACTTCTCACCTGTAGCCCTAGAGGATAGGAGAGAATAGAGAGACATAGTCTGATTTTCAAGAGGAAAAAAAGTCAATGCAGAATACTGTACCCTGCAAAGCTCCCATTTATGAATAAAGGTGAAATAAAGACCTTCTATAACAACTATAAATTGAAATAATTTGTCTCCACCCATCCAGCCTTACAAAAGATGCTTAAGGATGCACTACACATGAAACATAGTCCCCATCATGAAAGAATGTGAAGCCAGAAAATCCCCCAGTGAAAGTACAAAAGAAATTCAGAGTAAACGATAGGAATATTTATGGAAAAATGGAAGGGCCAAGTTGTTACTTATTAATAATAACCCTGAATGTAAATGGCCTCAACTCTCTAGTAAAAACATACAGACTGACTGAATGGATTAAAAAACAAGACCCATCTGTTTGCTGTCTACAAGGAACACACCTCACTAAGATACATTCAGACTGAAAGTGAAAGGATGGAAAAAGATATCCCATGCTAACAGAAACCAAAAAAGAGCTGGTGTAGCCATCCAAATATCAGACAAAATAGGCTTTAACACAAAAACTGTTAAAATAGACAAAGAAGGCACTATGTAAGGATTAAAGGATCAATTCAACAGAAGATCTGACTATAATAAACATATATGCACCTAATGCCAGGGTGCCTGGCTATTTAAAAAAAGGGAGACACAGACTCTAATACAACAGTAATGGGGGTTCTCACACCCCACTTTCAGCAATGGGCAGATCAACTAGAAAAAAATCAACCAAGAAACAAAAATCTGATATTTACAGAATCTTTCATCCCACTGTTGTACAAATGCATTTTTTTCATCAGTGCATGGAACTTTCTCTGGGACAGAGCATATGCTAGGCCATAAAACAAGTCACACCAATTTGAAATCTTACTATGTATCCTTTCTGACCACAATGGAATTAAGCTGAAATTAATAACTCAAGAATCTTGAGAACATACACAAATACATGGTGACTGAACAACATGCTCCTGAATGAACAGAGTGTCACAGAAGAAATAAAAAAAACTCCGTAAATGAATGAAGATGACAATACAACATATCAAAACTTATGGGATACAGCAAAAACAATGATAAAAGCAAAGTTTATAGCAATTGGTGCCTGCATCAAAAAATTGGAAAGGCATCAAATAAATGAGCATTCAATGCATCTCAAAGACCTAGAAAAACAAGACCCATGCTCAAAATTAGTAGGGGGAAATAAACAATTAAAATTTTAGGGTAAACAAAATTGAAACAGAAAAATAAAAAAGATCAGTGAAATGAAGAGCTGTTTTTTTTTGGAAAAAAAAAGCAAAATTGACATATCATGGCCCAACTAAACAAAAAGAAGAAGACCCAAATCAACAGAACCAGAGATAAAAAGGGAAATGTAACAACAGATACCATAAAAATAAAAAGAATCATCAGGAATTACTATAAAGAGTTATATGCCAACAAATCAGAAAATATGGAGGGAATGGATAGATTCTTGAACACAAAACAACCTACCAAAATTGAGCCATGAAGACACAGAAGGCCTAAACAGATCAATAACCAAGATGGAGACTGAATCAGTAATAAAGACCCTCCCAACAAAGAAAAGCCCAGGGGGGCCAGTGGTCTGGCACAGCGGTGCAGTAGGTTAAAGCCCCCACCTGCAGTACCAGCATCCCATATGGGTGCTGGTTCGAGTCCTGGCTGCTCCTCTTCCAATTCAGCTCTTTGCTATGGGTTGGGAAAGCAGTAGAAGATGGCCCAACTCCTTGGGCCTCTGCACCCATGTGGGAGACCCAGAAGAAGCTCCTGGTTCCTGGCTTTGGATCAGCTCAGCTCTGGCTGTTGCAGTAATTTTGGGAGTGAACCAGTGGAATGGAAGACCTCTCTCTCTCTGGCTTTACCTCTCTCTGTAACTCTAAAATAAATCTATAAAAAATGACAACAATAAAAAGAAAAGCCTAGAAAGCAATCCACTCATCTAAAACCAGTTTATCTTTGACAAAGGAAATAAAATCAGTCCCTCGAGCAAGGACAGTCTCTTCAAAATGTTGCTGGGAAAACTGAATCTCCATGTGTGAAAGTATGAAACAGGACCCCCACCTGGCACTTCACACAAAAATGCACTCAAATGGATCAAAGACCTAAATCTACAACTTGATACCATCAAAGTACTAGACGACATTGGAGAAACTCTGTAAGACATTGGCATAGGTAAAGACTTCTTGGAAAAGTCCCCAGAGGCATAGTAATCAAAGAAAATATTTACAAATATGATTGCATCAAGCTGAGAGGCTTCTGTACTGCAAAAGAAATACTCAGGAAAGTGAAGAGGCAACTGACAGAATGGGAGACTATATCTGCAAACTGTGAAACTGATAAAGGATTAATATCCAGTCTATAAAGAGCTCAAGAAACTTAATCACCAAACAATCCAGTTAAGAAATTGTCAAAGGCCCTGAGCAGGCATTTTTCAAGAGAGGAAATTCAAACAGACACATGAAAAAAATGCTCAGGATCACTAGCCATCAGGGTAATGCAAATCAAAACTACAATGAGGTTTCACCTCACCCCAGGTAGAATGGCTCTCATACAGAAATTGACAAACAATAAATGCTGGTGAGGATGTGGGGAAAAAGATATCTTACTACATGGTTGGTAGGACTGTAAACTGGTGCAGCCATTATGGAAGACAGTATGGAGATACCTCAAAAGTCTAAAAATATATCTACCATATGACCCAGCCATCTCACTCCTGAAAGAATTTACTCAAACAAAATGAAATCAGCATATGAAAAAGTTATCTGTACCCCCATGTTCACTGCAGCTCAATTCCCAATAGCTAAGATATGGAATCAACCCAGATGTCCATCAACTGATGCCTGGATAAAGAAATTACGATATATGTACACTATGGAATACTTCTCAGCAGTAAAAAGAATGAAATTCTGTTTTTCACAACAAAATGGATGCAACTGGAAACCATATACTTAGTGAAATAAGCCAGTCCCAAAAAGATATCATATGTTTTCCTCAATCTGTGGTAACTAATAGTGTACCTAAAATATAATGTATTGGAGTAGAACAGACATTTTCAGATTCAATGACCATTTACAGCCCTTATCTGTACTGTTGAGGAACACTGTTTTTTTTCCCTTTCATACTATTTTGTTGAACTTTTCCTTAGTGTAGGGTTAATCTTATAAGTACAAAGTAAACTTAAAATAGATCTTTGTAAAAATTCAGAGTGGGAATAGGAGAGAGAGGAGGAAGAGATGTTGGAGCATGGGTGGGAGGGAGGGTGGGATGGGAAGTATCACTGTGTTCCTAAATTTGTATAGATGAAATTTGTACACCATAAATAAAATTTTAAAAAAAGTTAGGAAGGAGGAGAGAGGGTGGCAGTGAGGGAGGGAAAGAAAGTAGGGTAGAAAGTATCATTATGGTCTCTTTTTAAAAAAAGAAAGTATCATTATGCTCTTAAAATTGTATATGTTAAATACATGAAATGTGTTCCCTTTATTGTATATTTAAAAATAACATAAAGTTTAAAAAATATTTATCTTTTTGTCCACAAAGAAAGCTATACACTATATATTGTGAAGTGAGTACAAAATACCAGAGTCTACCATGATCAACCTACATGTTTGCATTCTTAGAAAAGGGCTGGAAGGCTAACACAAAGCATCAGTAATAGTTCTTTCCTGCCTTGGTAGCATGAAAATTTTTATTTCCTCTTTTCTGATTTTCTTTATTCTACAGACTTTTTGTAGCAAGAAAGGAGTTCATTTATTGCTTGATAAAGTAATACAGGTGTTATTTCTATTTTAGAAATAATAGGTAGCTGCTGAGAAGCGAGGCTAAGAACAGATCATAAATGTGCAAGCTTGACTCTTACCACTGTCACATTTCACTCCTCGCCAGCCGACATCACACTCACAGGAGCCGTCACCCGAGAGTCCTTGGTTGCATCTTCCATGGACACAAGAACATGCTGAGTGGAAAGATCCCCACAAGTCATCAGACTCTGACCTGTGTCAACATCTCATCTATCATTTCCAGGGTTTGCGTGATTACATCTCATTCTTTCAGGGAGGGTAGGGGTGCAGAAGGCAGAGTCTAGCAGGTTGGCAGGGCAAGCCAGATCATGCCTCAACAACAGGATTCAGACCACAGCTTTGGGTCTGTGTAGCACTGAGGGTGTGATCCAAGCAGCAGCAGGGTGTCCTCAGCCAAGGTTCTATGAGAGTTATGTGGGCTTCTTGGGATAAACCCATGTTTGCTGTTTAAGAGTGGACTTCCAGGGAAGCCCATATGAGACTGGCTTTCTACAAGCCTGGTGTGGCACTGACGTCTTCATTTATGTGGAAATGCTGATTCGTTTGTTTTGTAGGATGATCATGAGCTGTACTGACAACGGGATGAAAGCAATGGATGACCACAGCCTTCCTCCAAAGCATTCATTTTTGGAAATTTTCTGCATCCTATGGGGATCCTCTATGGATCCTGGGTTAAGAAACTCCTGCACAAATGTAAGCACACAATTCTTCCAAACACACAGGAAGAAGGACCTTGTGATTCCAACAATGTATGGCCCAACTGCAGGGATTCAATCACATATTAAGTTTGTCTGGCTTCAAGCAGCCGATGAGAAAAGGGTGATAGCCTGGTCAAGCTTTTGGTTTTAGTACCAGGTAGAACAAAGCTTTGTTTTCTCATCATGGATTAGGAAATTCCTCCTCCCAGGTGTCACTGTGCACGAGGAGGTCAGGGTGCAAGGGTGCCAGGTGCTGATGATGTGGCTTACACAGATCACTGTCTCTGCAGAAGTGAAAGTATGTGGTTTGCTGATGACAGATCAATAGGGTGCTCTTAAAGGATGCCATGAATTAAGAGCAAGGCATTGAGGTCCAGCAAGATGCTCATTCAAGTCTCAGTTCTGCCCGTCACCAGCTGTGACCTTGGGGGAACCCTGCCCTATGCAAATGACACAGACATCTTTATAGTCCACAAGGACAGCAGCAGGCAGGATTGCCTTCTGCCTCGGGAGAGAGGCCAGATCACTGTGTCTCTGTGCATTCCCGCTCAGTTTCGGCAGGCTGGGAGGCTGGTGGGGTGGGGTGGGGCAGTGGCACGGTGCCTACCTTGATCACAGTGGATGCCATATTTGCCCTCGACGCAGTTCTCACAGGCCGTCCCACTGAAGCCCTCCCCGCACTCACAGGTGCCTGTGCCGTTCACACCATCCAAGCAGATCCCGTTACCGAAGCAGACATCCTGTCCTTTCCCTGGGCAGGGCTGGCACTGGGGCCCAAAGAAGCCAGCGCAGCACGCCCTGGTCTGAAACAGAAGGTCAACATCATGCGCTTCCAGTTCCCGTTTTGTCCAGCCTCAGTGTAGAAATCCTGCTGTGGCATTTGGTGCCTGCCTGTGTCTCTGGCCTGAGGGGTTGCCAGAGATGGGGGGCAGACAGCTCTGAGGACTCGGAAAGGCTAAGCAGTTTCCAGGGCTACTAGGAACAGGACTGACATCTCCATCAAGGAGGCAGAGGGAGGAAAGAGGCAAGTAAGGGAAGTGGTCGAAGAAAAATGCGACAGGCGGCGGGGTGTCCAGAGCAAACTACAGAGTAAAGCAAGCGACATTGAGCATGGGAGATGAGGCCCTTTCACACTGAAGCTTATTTTATCCACTGCTCTACAGTGGATAAGCCAGTTTATAAGCCAGTCCCTTATAGTTCAGGGGAACCCTGGATGATGTCTGCTTGGTTTTTAGCCTACCTTTGCTCTGGAATGCATGGAAGCACTAAACCTCCAGCTTCAGCGCCACGCCAGCCCACCTGTGCCAGGACAGGCAGAAGTTCTATCGAGTCCTCTGGGAGGAAGCAGGCAGGCAGTTACAGCACTGTCCTGAAAATGCCAGTGCAACGCCCAGAGGTTCTTAGCTCTGTCGTGCTTCCTCCTAAGTGAAGAGGTGCACCCTCCTTCCCTCAGGGTGCCCACTTCTTCTGTCCCTCATGTTGACAAGCGGGGTCACAAAGCTGCCTTGTTGTCACAACAGGAGGTCAGTCCTCTTAGCCTCTCTGACCTCAATTTCTTAATGATTATACAGGAGAGAGAGAGAATGAATGAATGAATGAATATATCTCCCTTGAGCTTGTTCATTCCCCAAATGCCCATAACGGCCAGGGATGGACCTGAAGCCAAGAGGAGAGAGCTTAATCCAATGGCAGGGACCCAACTACTTGGGCTGTCACCTGATGCTCCCTAGGGTCTGCATTAGCAGGAAGCTGGAATCAGGAGCTGGAGCCAGAAACTGAACCCAGGTACTCCAATATGAGGCACTGGCATCTGAAGAGTTTAACATCCACCTCTCAGTTCCTCGATTTCTTCCTCATGCAACTGAGTGTTGTAGCTCTTCCCACTTTCTGTCTCACAGGGCAGTGCTGAGTTTTATTGCTGCCCCTGCTCCTTTGAATGACAACCAGGGGGAAGGTGAGGGGTGGTGGGAGGGGTTCATGCAAAGGCGTTCTGAAGAGTCTAACAACTGACTGACTTCCCGAGCATCGCTGAAGGAATCGGAAGAATGACTGAATCCCATACTCACAATGACAGTTTTCACACACTTTGGCTGGCATCCAATGAATGGGGAACGCTTTCCCATGAAATATATGGTGTAGATACATCTCCTCGTCTCACCACCCTGTGACAGAGCAATGATTTCGTCAGCTTTGTAGGTAGGAAAAAGTTTCCGAATCTCTAAAAACAAGTGGTTAGGTGATCCATTGCTATCTATCTAGGTCCATTGCTATCTATACTAGAACGTTCTGGAAAAGGAGTCTAGTGGCTACTTCATGCCGCCTCACAAGAAAGCACAAAAGCACAATGTTGGCTGCCAGAACGCCAGGTGGCAAAATCCAAATAATTACACTTTACAGTAACATCCTGTAAAAATTTCTCTCTGGAAGGTAACTCAAATTCAGAAGAATCATAGACTAAAGCAGATAAAATTGCATCCTAGCCATGTACATGAGTTGACTACACCTTGATTACTATTTATTTCACTTATAGTCTTCCTTGGTCTGAGAAATAATTAAGGCTATTTACAAAGACCCATAATATATAAAAGTAAAAGTAAAAATCAAGTGAGAGAATCAGCATTTGTTATCATCATAAATCATCATCCTGCTATGGAAGAGTATTCTTTGTAATGGTTGTTATTTAGAATAAATAACTACAAGAAATATGGATTTGAATTAATCCAAAGGTATGTCTACCTCCTGCATGCCAGCCACCTGTTTCCCTGGGGAAGATTGTTGTAACCTGAACTATGCAAGGAAATCAGGCAGGACCAATACATCCAGGCTGGACTGGTTTTGGGTAGAGTCTGTGTTCTGTGATAAGATTTCTTGCTGCTGTTCTGAACAGGTAACTGGGAGGTGGAAGATGTAAAAGTGAGAAGTCCTTTCCTGCATGTGTTCTCACTGACAAAAGCCTGTTTCCATTTACTGATCAAATTTTATCTTAGTACAAACGGATGTAAGACTTTACAAAGATGCATCCATGTCACCAGGTAAAATGAAATGAAGTAACAAGGCAGTGAAAATGAGCTCTGCTGGAGACTCTTATATATTTTTTTTTTAGTCTGGGCTCCCTCAGATTTGGAAACTCTTCTGTCAAAGTGGACAAAACACTTACCAGAGGTTTAGTCCCAAATGGGCAGATCGGCTGCTGCGGACACTTTCCACACTTGCCCTTGGTAAAATGCAGAGGCAAAGAGAACATCTTGAAGCTATTAATACTAGTGAAGAATGCAAATATATTCTAGGGCAGGTGGTTTCAGAATGTGGAGCAGTCACCTGCTCAGCCTCTTTAGTGCCCTTGGAGATAAGGACCAACTCCTTCAGGCCGTATGTGTTTGAGCTTTACTTTTCCCCACAGCACCCTTCTGCATCAAGTAACCCCTAACAGAGTGGAGGTCTTATTCATTTACATCCTAATTCCTTTATCAACAATCCTTACGTATTGGAAATTAGTGACTTAGAGCCAACTCAGAGATGAATGGTGGGCTACACACAGTGCCCAGCCTTGGGAGCACTTGGTCTGCCTGGAGGGTGCAGAGAGATGTTCAATGGAGATAGCAAAACTGCTATAAGACAGCCAGCAAACATTAAGAATGACATAAACACCTAAGCGCAAACTGACCTCAAACTAGGAGGTGAGCAATGAGGCCACTCTTAACTTGGTGCCCACTGCACCGTTTGGTAGGCTGTTCAGGGTTCCATTTCTGGGGCCAGATTGCCTAGATTTGAACCTCTTCTCTGTCACTTGCTAATATGTATACCTATGTGCATTACTTAACATGTAACATGGGAATAGTAATGGGAGCTACTTTGTAGGGTGTAGTGAGGATTACCTGAGTTAGTACAAGTAAAATTTTAGAGTGGCCCCTTGCATGTAGCGCCTAAGAAATGGCTACAGTTATTACTATTACTAAAAGATCTTACACTGTCCAATGGACCAGAGTGAAATTTTTCCATTATTGCATCCCATGTTACACTGTACTTGTCCATGTTCACATTTTACTTCTAGTAATGAGGTTTGGCTAATCCCTGCCACAGATGAACCATAGTCCTCTCCCTGTACCTGTGCTAGACAAGGCATGACTTCAGAATTCTTCCAACACAGCTCTCCCAGGTACACAGGTACAATCTAATGCATTGACCACGAGCTCTCTGAGGGCAGGGGTTGTGTCTTTATACAATCAGCCTGGCATGCTCCATGGCACAGCAAATGCTCACTCACTGGTTTTTGGATTAAACTAAGATACGGTAAAAGAGAAGTCTTATGCTTCAAAATTATAAAAAACACAAGCCAACCCCACTGGTTGCATCATCAACCTTGGATATAACTTACTCGTACAATGCTTGTGTCATTATTATCACACCTATTCTTCTGAATTTCCAGAACTTTCCCCAAGCCATGGATCACACCCTTGTCAGTGGCTACATTGGTATAGTTGATTGGAGCCTCATTTACATAGAGCTGTGAACAAGAGGGTTAAACGTGACCTTTAATTGCAGTGGTTTTAAGGGAGATGGGGAAGGTGAGCCCGGAAGCTACCGACATGACAACAGCCTAGGAGATCTTCCCATACCTACCTGGAAGGCAGCGTGGAAAGAACTCAACCTAGGAAAAGGGAGTCCAAGTGATAGAGCTGCATTTGACACCACCTATGTGACCTTTGGAGAATTGCTTTCCCTCTCTTTCATATTTTTTCCTTTGTAAAACAAAGAGGTTGATCAGGATCATTTCTAGGGTCTCTCTTCATCTCTCAAATTAATCAGTTCCTGTGTGTTTGAAAAACACTGCAGTGCCGGCATCTTACATGGGTACTGGTTTGGGTCCCAGCTGCTTTACTTTCAATGCAGCTCTCCTCTATGGCCTGGGAAAGCAGTATAAGATGGCCCAAGTGCTTGGGCTCCTGCACCCATGTGGGAGATTTGGAAGGAGCTCCTGGCTCTTGGCTTCGGATGGGCCCAGCTTGGGCCATTGTAGCCATTTGGGGAATGAACCAGAGAATGGAAGGTCTCTCTGTCTCTCCCTCTCTCTGTAACTCTACCTCTCAAATAAATAATCTATTTTTTAAAATTTTTTGACAGGCAGAGTGGACAGTGAGAGAGAGAGACAGAGAGAAAGGTCTTCCTTTGCCGTTGGTTCACCCTCCAATGGCTACCGTGGCTGGCATGCTGCGGCTGGCGCACCGCGCTGATCTGATGGCAGGAGCCAGGTACTTATCCTGGTCTCCCATGGGGTGCGGGGCCCAAGGACTTGGGCCATCCTCCACTGCACTCCCTGGCCACAGCAGAGAGCTGGCCTGGAAGAGGGGCAACTGGGACAGAATCCGGCGCCCTGACCGGGACTAGAACCTGGTGTGCCGGCGCCGCAAGGTGGAGGATTAGCCTAGTGAGCCGTGGCACCAGCCATAAATAAATCTTAAAAATATATATTTATAAAAAGAAAAATGCTATCTCTTGATCTTTGTTTTAGGGCCCATTGACAACACGGCTCCATAGAGATGCTCAGTTGCACTGTAGCCTGGTGGTCCCAGAGGGATGGAAGCTCTCCACAACCAGGACATGGAAAAAGCAACTCGTCCTTGAGCTTGTCCCTACCTCATGGCTAATTTATAAGCAACCCCTGAAAAGGCTACCTGACAGCTAACAATAAGAGTAACTAGCTACGGATTGTGAGAGATGGTGTGTTTGGATCTATCTTTGCTTAGTGTGTTCGTAGCATTCAATCCTGAGAACTAAGTCAGTATCTAAAGCAGCCAAGTCACATTCCGCTTTGAGCTATAATTTGTTCTGTTTTGATATTTTCTTGGGAAAGGATAAATGAAACTCTTAATTCATTAAAGAATATAATGAATGTGATTGGAGACCAAAGGTTTTTTGAAAATTGGGGTGATGTGTAGTATGCGTTTGTGTGTGGAGGTGGAGCAGGGCTGAAGTTGAGAGAGGAGAACAATTCTGTGTTATACCAAGTTAGTACCCAACAAGGGTTAAAATTCACACAATAATTCCTAAATTAACATCTCCAATTTAAAAAGATGCAACTAAATACTTAAACTTGAATTTCCACTGAATGTTCGTGTCTCTCATGAGTTCCTTGCAATCAACCCATTTCCATCTGGATATTGGGATAAGTCCAAGGCTGGGCTTCACGGAGGAGCTCTCAGGTCTGTGTATATTGGGAACACTAACAGGAAACCTTCCTTAGTCTCAAATAGTGTGATGACAATTTCCAGAATTCCAAGATGCTATTTTTTAAAGGCCAAAATAGAATAGTTGATGTTGTAATGCTGTTTAATTTGGCATGAAAAAGTCTGAATGTTTCCCATGATTGGATATATACTGAGAATTGTGGGCTTACTTTAAAATTTTGATTTAAACACATCAATTTACTTAAAAAGATTTTTTCCATACTTCTGTTCTCCTAAGAGAAAGTAAATGAGTATTAATACAACTAAAGCCTCTACTGTGTGAAAAACTTTTGCTCTGGATCAAAGAATTTCTGCGTAAGTAGAAAATAAACATTATAGCACTGAAATAGATCCTTCTAAGTTCTTTGGAATATTGATCTTCATATGATGAAATAAAAGATGATAAAAACCAAAATAAAAATGAAAGCTATCAAAAATCACTGTTATTGTGGAAAAATCAGAAAATGAGTATACTTAAAAGGGTGGAACAGCCGAGACTCGAACCAGCACCCGTGTGGGATACAGGCACTGTAGGCAATGGCTTTACCCGCTATTCCACAGTGCCCACCCCCACACTTGATCTTAGCCAAAACACCAAGAAGCAATAAAAAGATCCTTTTAAGTATATTCACGTTGATTATCTGAAGGCTGGAGACAGGGTGGGTGATGAGCAGGACAATGTGGTTCAGTCATTACTTTATGGTGAAACACAGACAACTGTTTTGTGTTGGTAGGGTCTGGGACTCACTGGTGGGATTATCTCAATATGGAACAGATGAGGATTGACAGGAGCTGAGACACTGGTTACTGGGTTTTAACTAAAAGGATCACACCTGGTTGTTGTGGAGAAAGAAGCCGAGGAGGTAGGAGAAACCCAGCATGGTCTCCCGGTGCATGCCATGGTGCAGGTCATTCTTCAGGAGTTTCTCATCCAGGACCACGTGATACCGCACTATGTCCTCCTCCTGAGCCACACAGAGAATAGAAGTGAACCAAGAGATCAGCCAGTCCATTATGGGTCTGCTCCACAGTGCCAGCACTGGGGGCATCACCGTGAGAAGCAACAACGTGTTGGAGTAGAAGTTCAGTGGGTATTAAACACCAAAGTGAGTTGTGGAATACATTACCTTGAGAACTTGCAAACTTTCCACGTAGGATGGTCAAGAACTTGTTCAGTGACTCTGAAGCCCAGATAGAGGGTATGAATGTTGGGGTGGGTTGCAAAGGTGACAGTTTTGGGTGGAACTGTTCTGAAGTGAGAGTCCCTGCACCCCAGCCTCTTCAGGGATGATGAGTGGAAGCCCAGTGAGGTGTCTCAGAGACCCTCCTCTGTGGCTCATGTCCCCAGCTGGGTGGCATGTAGGACTGGGGTCTGACTGAGTGCTGAGCAGTCTCCTGGCCATGGGCAGCTGAGCTGCTCACAGTGAGCAAGGGACAGGAGAGCGGGAGGTGTTTCCTGGGGTGCAGATGTGTGGCCACATCTGAGCAAAATGGCACCTCATATCTGATATCCAAGATGGCTGCCTGGTAGGGCGGACAGACTCCCTCCAGCACAACCAGCAGAAGCTGGAGGTGCGCTATGGGTTTTAGAGTGGTTCCTACCCTTTTAATACCTCTTCCCAACCACCAACACTTCCTGTCCCTGGTGAAACCAACACTGATTGAGAGGAATTGAAGCACGATGTGAGGGAGGAGAGAAGGTTGTGAGTTGTCTCTCACTGCAAGCCCGCCCTCCCACGTTCTCTGCTGGGGCTGAGGCTGTAATCTGCACCCCTTCCTTCCCCTAGGGTTCCGGTTCTGCTGATGGCAAGCACTGGAGGGCACTTGTGAGGCTTGGGCTTGCTCCTTCCCTCTTGCTTCCAGCTCCTGTGGATCCCACTCCTCTTCCTAGGCAGTGGCAGCTGAACGGGAGGGCAGTTTCCTAGGACTCATCATGCCCTCCCCACCTCTGAGGCACCAGCCGGGCAATGCCACCTCCTGTGTGTCTGAGTTTTGGGCTCACTGGCCCCTTCTTCCAATGTCAGACACCAGCCCCTGCTGAACATTCCCTGTGCCATAGCCTGAGGTTCCTTTAAGGTTCCTGTTTTAATAATTCCAACCTCCAGGTCTTGCATGCCCTCCTGCCACTTCTACCTCTGTGATCTCTGCCACCCCTCTCTCCCTTTATACCCAATAAACAGTTTGTACTACTGCGTTCTCTCTGCTTCAGTAACTGGTATGCTTTGTGTCTCCTGAAGGACCATACTGGCTCACAGGCCAGGCCCTCTTCTCTGGCTGTCTGCCTGCACAAACAGTCCATCCCTGTAGATCCATGCTGCTGACGTCACAGCTCTTCAGGCCAGGAAGATGTCAGGGACTGGAGCGGCAGCTATGAGGATCCTTCCTGGTTCCTAGGATGCCTGCAGGCTTGTGTGTAGGGGCTGGGACGCACTAAACAGAGCAGCTTGGGCATGGGGGTTTTGTGTGGGGGTGGAATTTCTGCACGAGGTTATGTTAAGAATGTGGATATGGACAAGGGGCTTTGATGAAAGAGTGAAAAGGCATAAAACTGATGCACTTAAAATGTTGAGTGTCTGAATATGCAGCGAATAACCTCCCTGGCGCTTGTTCCCTATACCTACTAGAGTTGTGACTTTCTTCTCCCTGACGTAATTCTCGATGGCGTCATTGTTGGGGGCGAACACCGTGTAAGCATCGGCGGCCTCGATTGCATTCACCAGATTATATTGCTGTGGTGGAAAGAGACCAGAGCGTGTGAGCGGTTCCCATCCCCAGGCAACCCCAGCCAGGCTGTCATGAAGGGAGTGTGGTACTTGCAATGATGTATCCCCGGAAGATGGAGTAGTCGGGCATCTGCTCCAGCCGGGTGAGCAGGTTTGGTAAGGAGCCGGTGAGAACTCTTTGGGGGACCAGCACCTGGGAAAGGAAGCCCCCAAATTCTGTTAGCACATGTTGCTAGGATTTGCTGCTTCCAGATACACATGAAAATCCTATTACTTTCTTTAGACAGTACAAGGAATTGACATTGAAAACATGTTGAAGATTACTCAGATTGAAAGTATTCTAGGACGCAAAGTGAAAGGGAGAAAGAGACTTGGAGGTGTTGGTAGTTCAGTTTTATGTCTTGTCCTTAAACTTCCTGCTGTTGGGGAAAATCCCACCATGCCCCAGAGGTCTCATAGCTTCCCCAAGTCACCTAATCCAGTTTTTCATCTTTCAGTGAAGACCTGAAAATCAAACTGAAATGCAGCAAGCTGCAGTTAAAATCCACTGTTTACTCTACAGGCTCTTCATTTCTTGGCTCATGCAATGTCAAAAAATAGGGTATTTTACCATAAGATGTAGATTTCCGGCTTCCTGTTTAAAAAAATCAGTCTGCATTTCTGCAGACAACACAGAGCTGCAGAGGGTAGCCACTGGGACTGGGAACGGCAGCTATGAGGATCCTTCAGTCATTTTCATCATAGTCCACGCTCGCCTTCCACCTGTTTCCCCTCAATCATCTTTGTCATGTGCATGGTGTCTATGGGCATTTGAGTTTGCAAGCCCTGCATGGCTCACCTTCTGGACAAAATAAATGTTTCTATCTTCTCATTCTGCCTAGAACCTTCTCCAATCGAAGGACATAAAACTGGAATGTTTTAGTTTTTTCTTTTTCCCCCTCATTTTTTTCAAATATTTATGTATTTACTCGAGAGGCAGAGTTACAGATAGAGGAGAGAGGTCTTCCATCTATTGGTTCACTCCCCAAATGGCTACACTGGCTGGAGCTGAGTTGATCCGGAGCCAGGAGCCAGGAGCCAGGAGATAGAACTATAAAACTAGAAAAATAAAAACAAACCAAATTCTAAATTAGTAGGAGGAAAGAAATAAGTAAAATTAGAGAATAAACAAAATTGAAATAAAAAAAACTATATAAAAGATCAGTGAAGAGGTGGAGTTTTGAACAAATAAACAAAATTGATAAACCATTTGTCCAACTAACCAAAAAAGAGGGAGAAGACCTAAATGAATAAAATCAGAGATGAAAAAAAGAAATGTAACAACAGACACCACAGAAATAAAAAGAATCATTAGAAGAGCTATATGCCAAAATATTTGGAATTGCAGACCAAATGGATAGATTCCTAGACACATACAAGCTACCAAAATTGAGTCATTAAGCCATAGAAAACTTAAACAGACCAAAAACCAAGATGGAGAATGAATCAGTAATAAAGACCCTCCCAACAAAGAAAAGCTCAGGATTGTGCAGCTTCATTGCTGAATTCTACTAGACATTTAAAGAAGAACTAATTTCAATTTTTCTCAAGCTATTCAAAATAATTGAAAGGGAAAGAATCCTCCCAAAATCCTTTTATGAAGCCTGTATGACCTTAATTCCCAAACCAGAAAAAGATACAATAGATAAAAAGAAATTTAAATCAATATTCCTTCAACATAGAAAAACACAGATACAAAAATCCTCAACAAAATATTAGCTAATCCAACAACACATCAGAAAGATTATTCACTCAGACCAGGGATTTATCCCTGGTATGCGGGGATGATTCAACACTCACGAATCAATAAATGCATATATCACATTAACAAACTGAAGAACAAAAACCATATTGTTATCTCAATAGATTCAGAGAAAGCATTTGATAAAATACAACATCCTTTCATGATGAAAACCTTAAGCAAATTGAATATAGAAAGAACATTCTTCAACACAGTCAAGGCAATTTATAACAAATCCAAGGCCAGCATCCTATTGAATGGAGAAAAGCTGGATGCATTCCCCCTAAGATCTGGAACCAGGCAGGGATGCCCACTTTCACCACTGCTATTTAATATGGGCCTAGAAGTTTTAGCCATAGCCATTAGTCAAGAAAAATAAATCAGAGGGATACAAATTGGAAAGGAGGAAGTCTAACTATCCCTATGGGCAGATGACATGGTTCTATATATAGGGTATTGAAAAGACACTGCTAAGAGACTACTGGAACTCATAAAATTGTTTGGTGCAGTGGCAAGATATAAAATCAACACAGAAAACTGAATAGCCTTTGTATACATAGACAGTACCATGGCTGAGAAAGAACTTTTAAGATCAGTCCCATTCACAATAGCTCCAAAAAAAATTAAATACCTCAGAATAAATTTAACCAAGGTTAGCAAAGAACTCAACGATGAAAATTATAAAACACTAAGGAAATAGAAGACTTTAAAAAATGGAAAAAATCTTCCATGTTCACGGATTATAAGAATCATCATCAAAATGTCCATAATATCAAAAGCAATTTACAGATTCAAGGTGATCCCAATCAAAATACCAATGACATTCTTTGAAGATTGAGAAAAATTGATGCTAAAATTCAAATGGAAAGACAAGAGACCTTGACTAGCTAAATTAATCTTATATAACAAAACAATGCTGGAGGCACCACAATACCTGATTTCAAGACAAACTACAGGGCAGTTATAATAAAAACCACCACCTGGTACTGGCACAAAAGCTAACTTGTAGAAAAATTGAACAAAATAGAAATTCCAGAAATCAATCCAAGAATCTACAACCAACTTATCTTTGATAAAGGAGCTAAAATCAGTCCCTGGAGCAGGGACAGTCTCTTCAAAATGATGCTGGGGAAATTAGATCTCCGTGAGAAGTATGAAACAAGATCTCTCCCTTACACCTTACACAAAAATACACTGAATATGGATCAAAGACCTAAATATACAACCTAATACCATCAAGTTACTTGAGAACATTGGGGAAACCCTGCAAGACATTAGCCTAGGCAATGACTTCTTGAAAAGGACCCCAGAAGCACAGGAACTCAAAGCCAAAATTGACAAATAGGATGACATCAAGCTGAGAAGCTTCTGTACTGCAAAATACTCAGCAATGTGAAGAGGGAACTGACAGAATAGGAGGAAGTATTTTCAAACTATGCAACTGAAAAAGGGTTAACATCCAGAATCAATAAAGAGCTCAAAAAAACTGAACAACAAAATAAACAATATACTTAAGAAATGGTCAAAGGACTTGAACAGACATTTTTCAAAAGAGGAAATTCCAATGGCCAATAGACATTTGAGAAAATGCTCAGGATCACTAGCCATCAGAGAAATGCAAATCAAAACCACACTGAGGCTTCATCTCAATCCAATTAGAATTGCTTTCATACAGAAATCAACAAACAACAATGCGGGCGAGGATGTAGGGAAAGTTACCCTAATCCACCGTTGGTGGGAATGTAAACTGGTAAACCACTATAGAAGATGGTATGGAGATACATCAGAAATCTGAATATAGGCCTACCATATGATCCAGCCATCCCACTCCTGAGAATTCACCCAAACCAAAAGATATCAGCATATGGAAGAGTTATTTGTACCCTAATGTTCATTGCAGCACAAGTCACTACAGCTAAGATATGGAATCAAACCAAATGTCTACCAACTATTGACTGGATACAGAAATTATGGTATACATACACTACAGAGTATTACTAAACTGTGAAAAAACTTTTCTTTTCCAACAAGATAGACACAACTGGAAACCATTATACTTAGTGAAATAAGCCAGTCCCAAAAAGACAGATATCATGTGCTTTCCCTGATCCAAGGACACTAATAGAGTACCTAAAATGTAATGTATTGGAGTGAAATGGACATTTTGAGATTTGATGATTGCTTACAGCCTTGTCTCTTCCATTGAGGAAGTGTTTTTTTTCCTTATTATTTGTTGAACTCTTTTACTTAGTGTAGGGTTAACCAACTATACAATCATTAAATAAGCTAAAAGTAGATATTTGTAAAAGTTAATAGTGGGAGGTCTGGCACTGTGGTATAGTGGGTGATGCTGCTGCCTGTGGTGTTGGCATCCTATATGGGTGTCATTTTGAGTCCTGGCTGATCAACTTCTGATCCAGGTCTCTGCTAGTGTGCCTGGGAAAGCAGTAGAGGATGGCCCAAGTCCTTGGGCCCCCACAGCTATGTGGGAAACTCAGAGGAAGTTCTTGGTTCCTGGCTTCTGATCAGCCTGGCTCCAGCTGTTGCAGCCATTTGGGGAGTGAACCAGTGGATGGAGGGCCTCTCTCTCTCTCCCTCTGCCTCTTTGTAACTCTGCCTTTCAAATAAATAAATAAATCTAAAAAAATTGAGAGTGGGGGCATGAGAGGGAGGAGGAAGAGGGTTGGAATGTGGGCAGGAGGAAGGGTAGGATGGGAAGTATCACTGTGTCTCTAAATCTGTATGTATGAAATACATGAAAATTATATAACTTAAATAAAATTTAGAAAAGTTTATTTATTTGGAAGACAGATAGAGACAGAGACATACAGAGACAAACAGACATTGAGATCTCCCATCTACTGGTTCTCTCTTTAAATGCCTGCAACAGCCAGGAATGGGCCAAGCCAAAGCCAGAAGCCAGAAATTCAACCTGGGTCTCTCACATGGGTTGCAGGACACAAGTTTGTGAGAAATCATCTGCTGCTTTCCCCAGCATGCATTAGCAGGAGGCTGGAATTTGAGCAGAGAGGGGGCTTAAAACTAGGTACTCCAACTGTCTCATCTTTTACAAAAAAAAACACGCCCATCTCTAGAATTTGCCCTCCTGAATCTGTCATCCTCAGTGATGTGGACTGCATGGGTTAAGGAAGGTAGGACTAGAATAGATCCTCATGGTAATAATGTCCAGTGTAATGGGTCAGGGATCTAAACCTAAGACCAGAAAACATGGGGAAACATTGCAAGGCATTGGCACAGGCAAAGACTTCTTGGATAAGAACCCAGCAGAAAAGGCAATAAAAGCAAAAATAGAAAAATGGGGAGCCGGCGCCGCGGCTCACTAGGCTAATCCTCCGCCTTGCGGCGCCGGCACACCGGGTTCTAGTCCTGGTCGGGGCGCCGGATTCTGTCCCGGTTGCCCCTCTTCCAGGCCAGTTCTCTGCTATGGCCCAGGAGTGCAGTGGAGGATGGCCGAAGTGCTTGGGCCCTGCACTCCATGGGAGACCAGGAGAAGCACCTGGCTCCTGCCATTGGATCAGTGCGGTGCGCCGGCCGTGGTGGCCATTGGAGGGTGAACCAACGGCAAAGGAAGACCTTTCTCTCTGTCTCTCTCTCTCACTGTCCACTCTTCCTGTCAAAAGAAAAAAAAAAAAAGAAAAATGGGATTACATCAAGCCAAGAAGGTACTGTATAGCAAAGAATACCGCATAAAAGTAAGAGGCAATCAACAGAATGAGAGAAAATATTTGCAAATTATAAATCTGATAAAGGATTTATATCCAGGATATATAAGGAGCTCAAAATTCAACAACAATGAAATGAACAATACAGTTAAGAAATAGACAAAGGACATGAACAGGCATTTTTCAAAGGATAAAATGGACAACAGACACATGAAAAGATGCTCAGGATGACTAGCCATCAGGGAAATGTAAATCACAATGAGGTTTCACCTCAACCCAGTTAGAATGGCTGTCATACAGAAATCAACAAACAATAAATGCTGGTGAGGAGATGGGAAAAAGGTATCCTAATCGACTGTTGGTAGGAATGTAAATTGGTACAGCCATTATGGAAGAGAGTATGGAGATTCCTCAAAAATCTGAAAATAGATGTACCACATGATCCAGCCATTCCAGTCCTGGGAATTTACGCAAAAGAAGTGAAATCAGCATATGGAAAGAGTTATTTATACAACCATGTTTACTGCAGCTCAACTCATAATAGTTAATATATGTAATCAATCCAGCTGTCCATCAATTGATGACTAGATAAAGAAATTATGGCATATACACATTATGGAATACTACTCAGCCATAAAAAGAATAAAATTTTGTCTTTTGCAACAAAATGGATGCAACTGAAGACTAATTTTTTTTTTGACAGGCAGAGTGGACAGTGAGAGAGAGAGACAGAGAGAAAGGTCTTCGTTTTTGCCGTTGGTTCACCCTCCAATGGCCGCCACGGCTGGCGCGCTGTGGCCAGCACACCACGCTGATCCGAAGGCAGGAGCCAGGTGCTTCTCCTGGTCTCCCATGGGGTGCAGGGCCACAGCAGAGAGCTGGCCTGGAAGAGGGGCAACCGGGACAGAATCCGGTGCCCGGACTGGGATTAGAACCCGGTGTGCCGGCGCCACTAGGTGGAGGATTAGCCTAGTGAGCCGCGGCGCCGGCCTGCAACTGAAGACTATTATGCTTAGTGAGATAATCCAGTCCCAAAAAGATGAAATATATATATTTCCCTGATTTGTGGTAACTAAGATACAGAGTATAAAAAGTAATACATGAGGCCGGCGCTGCCGGGTGAGCGACATAACCCCTCGCAAGCCACGGGCTCTGTCGTGTTCACCAGGTTCTAGTCCCGGTCAGGGTATGCGTCCTCGGTGACTGCTGCCTCTCTTCCAGGCCAGCTCTCGGGGGCGGGAATAACCAGTTAGGATGGCCCAAGTGCTTGGGCCCTGCACCCCATGGGATACCAGGATAAGTACCTGGCTCCTGCCATCGGATCAGCGCCATGCGCCAGCCGCAGGGCGCTGGCCCTGGTGGCCATTGAGGGTGAACAAATGGCAAAGGAAGACCTTTCTCTCTCTCTCTCACTATCCACTCTGCCTGTCAAAAAAAAAATAATATATGAGCAAAACTACCATTTGAGATTTTATTATTGTTTATAGTCCTTGTCTATACTCTTGAGGAACAGAGGTTTTTCTAATTACCACTTGTTGGATTCATTACTGAATAGTGGGTTAAACTTGTAATTATAAAATAAACTGAAAATATGCTGTTGTAAACATTAAAAGAAAAAAGAAAAGGAAGGAGGAAGAAGGGGTGGGAGCAAGGGAGGGAGGGAGTGAGGGAGTGAGGGAAGGGTGGGAAGTGTTATCATGCTCTTAAAACTACACATCTGAAATTCATGAACTTTGTTTGCTTATACACACCAAAAGCTAATGCTCAATGTGAGAGATGGGTTGGGGTGTCTTCCTACTAAGCGGAGTGTATTCATAAAAAACTGGGAGCAGAAAAGGTAATTTTATGTTTTTATTTTGTTTGTTTTGGAAAGCCAGGATTGGAAATGTATGCTTGATAAATAATGTTACTTTGCATTATCTGACGTCATAAATCTGGCATTGCTGCTTACACATGAAGAGTCGCTCACTTAAAGATGTTGTGTTTCTTAATGTCCCTGGTACTACAGCAGAATTGCAAGATCTTTGCAAAACAAGGCATGCAGGAGTCTTACAAATAGCCTCTTCTTTCTAAACAGCTGGCTTTTTCAAAGTTTAAAATAAAAAGGTGAACATATCAGTGCCAAGTGAAAACATGTTTAGTTAAAATGCAGTTATTTAATTTGCTTTTTCCAATCTTTGACCTCCAAAAGTTTCCAGAGTTCACTAAATTCTAACTTTCATTTTTAACTAAAGATTCGAATACAGTAACTGGGAATTATAGGAGAGCTTACAGTCCATTTTCCTATTCTTCTTCTTCTATTCCCCCTCTTTCTTACCTTTGGAAAACTCTCATAATACTTTTTCTACCATTTCCATTTTTTCTTGTAGGTCCTTTGTTACCACATGCTTTTAGGGTGCAGCAATGCAGAGAGCCAAACAGGATATGATGGAGAATGGTAGCCCCACATTGGAATACACATGGGTAAGTGGTTATTGAGTTTGATAGAAATGACAGAGCCTCTAAATGGTTTAAAAATAAATGTAATGACGCACAATGCTTTTCTCTTAAGGCTACATTATCTTTTTTTTTTCCTTACAGGAGGACAAATAACCAAGGAGAAGAGATGCTACCAGGGTGGAATTTTGTACCTTGTTGATGATGTGTATCATGCCATTGGTGGCTACGTTGTCACCATCCACAATGGACGCTCCTTCAATTGTGACATTCTGTAAATGCAAACCACGACAGGAAGATGAGACTCTGGAGTACACACATGGACTCATTCATTTTGAGAAGCAGTAGCTTTCATACTTGGTGCCATAGCCCACCATGAGAAATATCTTTAAATTTTGACCCATTAGATCTCTCTCTCTCTCTCTCTCTCTCTCTCTCTCTCTCTTTCACACACACACACACACACACACACACACACAAGATGAGAGTACTTTCCCCTACTATGTGGGAGGCCCTCTGATCTTCAATTCCACACCACACTATTCTATCTTATCAAGAATGTGCTGGTTGAGGCTCAATAAAGTGCCCTTGCAGTATGGAAAGCACCAAGAGTCAGTGTTGTGGGCCAAAATGTGTCCCCATGTCCCCACCGTTCGTATGTTGAAGTCCTAGCCCCCAGGACCTAGACCCCAGGTGACATATTTGGAAATAGCGTCATTACAAAGGTGATCAAACTGGCCGGCGCTGTGGCTCAACAGGCTAATCCTCCGCCTAGTGGCGCCGGCACACCGGGTTCTAGTCCCGGTCGGGGCGCCGGATTCTGTCCCGGTTGCCCCTCTTCCAGGCCAGCTCTCTGCTGTGGCCCGGGAGTGCAGTGGAGGATGGCCCAAGTGCTTGGGCCCTGCACCCCATGGGAGACCAGGAGAAGCACCTGGCTCCTGCCTTTGGATCGGCGCAATGCGCCGGCCACAGCGTGCTGGCCGCGGCGGCCATTGGAGGGTGAACCAACGGCAAAGGAAGACCTTTCTCTCTGTCTCTCTCTCTCTCTCACTGTCCACTCTGCCTGTAAACAAACAAACAAACAAACAAACAAAAAAACAAAAAACAAAAAACACAAAGGTGATCAAACTAAAGTGAAATCCTTGGGTGGGCCAATCCAGGATGAGTGGTGGTACAGGGGAAATTTTCAGAGACAGCAATAGTGAGAGAACATTATGTAACCTTGAAGATCAACTACAAGCCAAGGGGGAAGGCATGGAGCAGCTCCTTCCTGTATGGACCTCAGAAAGAGCCAACTTCACTACCATCTTGCTCTTGGACTTCAAGCTTCCCAAACTGTGAGAGAACACACTCTCGTTGGTTAAGTCACCCAGTCTCTGGTCTTTCGTTATGATGGTTCCAGCAAAGCAGTGCTGATGGTAACTGACTTTTCTAGTCAGAACTCAATCACTGGGGCCAGTGCTGTGGCATAGTGGGTTAAAGCCCTGGCCTGAAGTGCCAGCATCCCATATGGCCACCAGTTCTGGTCCAGGCTGCTCCTCTTCCAAACCAGCTCTCTGTTATAGCCTGGGAAAGCAGTAGAAGATGGCCCAAGTCCTCAGGCCCCTGTGCCCACGTGGGAGACCTGGAAGAAACTCCTGGCTTCGGACTTTGGATTGGCTCAGCTCCAGCCATTGTGGACATCTGGGGAGTGAACCAGTGGATGGAAGACCTCTCTCTCCGTCTCTACCTTTCTCTGTACCTCCTTAAAATGAATAAAATAAATCTTAAAGAACTCAATCAGTTTCAGAGTGTTAGATGAGGAATGGGGCTGAGTGAACCCCGATACCCACCCCAGCCACCAAACAGCATTGATGACAAGGGGCTCCACTCTCTCTGGTTCCTCTTCTCCCCATCATGACCTTTTGTTTGAAATTCCTGCTGGGAATCCTGAGTGAAGAAGCTGAGCTGTGTCCCCCTAAGAAGTTCCCAAGTCACTTCTGCAGAGACCTGGAAGGAAGCACTGCTGGCCACCTTGCACATCACTTTTGATTAATGGGAGACATTTACACCAGACGGAAGAATGAGATTAAAAAAGCTGTGTCTTTGGGGGCAGGTGTTTGGTGCAGTGGTTAAGATGCCATTTGGGATGCTCGCATCCCAGATCAGAATGTCTGGGTTCATGTCCTGGCTCTGCTCCCAATTCCAGCTTCCTGTTTATGTGCTCCTTGGGAGGCAGTGGATGATGGTTAAAGTACTTGGGTCCTTGTCACCCATGTGGGAGATTCCATTTGAATTCCTGGTACCTGGCTTTGGTGGAGCCAGGTCTGGCTATTGCATGGACATTTGGTTACTGAACTAGTAGCTAGGAGACCTGTGTCTCCTAGCTTTTCAAATGAAAAATTTAAATCCCATATGGGCGTCGGGTTCTAGTCTCAGTTGCTCCTCTTCCCATCCAGCTCTCTGCTGTGGCCTGGGAAGGCAGTGGAGGATGGCCCAAGTGCTTGGGTCCTGCACCCGCATGGGAGATCAGGAAGAAGCACCTGGCTCCTGGCTTCGGATTGGCGTAGTGCTGGTTGTAGCCGCCATTTGGGGGGTGAACCAATGGAAGGAAGACCTTTCTCTGTGTCTCTTTCTCTGTCTATAATTCTACCTGTCAAATAAAAAAAAAGGCATCTTTTCTGGTGAGTTTCTCTGGAGTGTGGATCTTGATTAATTTATCTTTTGATCTACAGTACCTAGGATCCACCTGTCACAGGAGTGTTCAGTTAATTCTTACCAAGATAATCAATGGTTTAAAACACCAATGGATTAGCATTACCGTAGTAATAATTTCATGAGGCACACACATGAAAATCATGTTACACATTTTATATACAATTTTGATTTTAAAAACTTGGTAGAAAATAATACTAGTGCCACTAGAATTATCATAATGTGATATAAAAAATCCATGGCAGCCTGTGTAACTGTTCCCTGCTTTATAAAAGAAATCATCCGAGGAACTACATACAGTTAGGGATTAGCAGCCACAATCTTTTCCACTAAGAGGGAACAGAAATACAATTCTCAAACATTTTTGACTGTGGTCCATGGTCCACAGATAGAGCAGTTGTCACTTCCCAGGGCACTCTTCAATTCCATTTTGTACAACTTAGAGAAAGAGTTTTATGTATTTATTTTTAAAGAGTTATTTATTCATATGAAAGGGAGGAAGGAGGGGGAGGGGGAGGGGGAGGGAGAGAATGAATATGAATGAATATCTTCCACCTGCTGGCTCACTCCCCAAATGGCTGCAATGGCTCAAGCTGGGCTGATTCAAAGCCAGGAGCCAGGAGCCTCTTTTGGGTCTCCCATGTGGGTAACAGGGGCTCAAGCTCTTGGGCCATCTTCCACTGCTTTCCCAGGCCATTAGCAGGGAGCTGGATTGGAAGTGGAGCAGCTGGGACTTGAACCAGCGCCCATATGGGATACCACAGGTCTTGGCTTTACTTGCTGTGCCACAGCACTGGCCCCAAAGAGCTTTAAAATCTTGTCACATGGGAATAGCATTGTGGTGCAGTATGCTAAGCCACAGCCTGAAAAACTGGCATTGTACATCAGAGTGCTGGCTCAAGTACTGGCTGCTCCATTTTGGATCCAGTTGCCTGCTAATGTGTCTGGGAAGGCAGTGGAAGAAGGCCTAAGTGTTTGGGCTCCTGCCACCCTCATGGAAGACCTGTATGAAGTTACAGGCTGCTGGATTTGGCTTTACCCAGCCCCAGCTGTTGCACACATTTGGGGAATGAACCAACAGATGGAAGATTTCTCCTTTTCTCTTACTCTAACTCTGCATTTTCAAATTATCTGTCTGTCTGTCTATCTTTATACCTACCTACCTGAAACAAATCCTGCCACAGGCAGCCAGACTTCTGCATGGAACTCTGAATCTTAGTCTTGCTGCATCATAGAAAGTGCCAGAGGATGGGGGCACCTCCAGGGCTGGGCTCTTCCTTGGGCACTGCTCTATCTCTGGCACCTACACCCATGTCTGGTTCATAGCAGGTGTCCAGAAAGATTTGACTGACCTTTAGTTCATAGAAAATTTTATATTTATAATGACTCAGTTAATAGGTTATTAGTAACAACTTCTTGGTTAACTGTAAATCAAAATAAAAGTTGTGACCTTGCACACCCTTTAGCCCTTTTAGACAAGTCTGTTTCCAGTGGGAAGAGCCTGTGGTCTACCAGCAGGAAGAAGATCAGTGCTATAGACTGATGTGTGTGTGATTCTGTGCATACTGATCACTGTTGCAGCTGGGTGACATTCACATGGAGGGTTTTTTTTTTCTAGTTTTGACCATGTTTGGAAACATTCATAATGCAAACATTTAAAAAAATGTTTGTGAACAAAGATCTCATTGTTTCAACTGGGTACAAACTGTGAGCTCTCTTACCCCATCCACCTTCTCCAGGTGCAGGAAGTGGCCCTGCAGAGACGTTGGGAGCACATCAGAAGCCGACACAGTCTGCAGGTCTGCCACTCCGTAGGTGCCGAGGAGCGTATGGTACCTTAAACAACAGACCACAAGGGCTAAATATAATTAAACATCATGCGTTGAGAAGAGGCTCTGGTGTGAGACAGCCATATTCAAACCTCCAATTCCTCCTGCAGTTGTTAGTTTTGGCTTCAGTTAGCTAATTAACTGCCCTGTGCCTCAGTTTTTACATCTGTAAGGTGGGAATAACTAAAACACTGTTCTCTAGGGCTCTGGAGAGGAGTAAATAAGCTATATGTAGGGGCTGGCATTATGGCATGGTAGGTAAAGCTGCCACCTGTGATGCTAGCATCCCATTTGGGTGTAGTTCGAGTCCCAGCTGCTCCACTTCCAATCCAGCTCCCTGCTAATGCCCTGGCATAAGCAAGGGAAGATGACCCAAGTGCTTGGGCCCCTGCTACCCATGTGGGAGACTGGGATGAAGCTCCTGGTTTGGCCTGACACAGTCCTGGCTGCTGCAGCCATTTGGGGATGAACACACACATGGAAGACCTCCCTCCCTCTCTCTCCCTCTCGCCCCCCCTCTGTCGTGTGTGTGTGTGTGTGTGTGTGTGTATCTTCCTCTCTCTTTGTAACTCTTTGAAATAAAGAAAGAAATCTTTAAACAAGCTATATGTAGATCAGATGGAACAGTGCTTGCTCACAACTGGCTGCCAGTAACTGCTGATGCTTACTGTCCTGGGGGAAGGAGGTGGGGAGGGGCAATACCAGGACACGTGCAGCTCCATGGACTAGAGGAACCTGTGGCTTCCCCACCCTGAACTTCTACAGAAGGGTCACACTGATGTCAGCCAGATATCATGAACAATAGAATATATAATACCTACTTTATTAAGGCTGGAATATTGCTCTGTGACAACCAAAAGCTCTTCTCATCTTGGTCCATGTCCTCAATAGCTTGTTGGGATGGCACCAGGACAGTGAGGTTCCAGGTGGTTGACAGCATGGGTTGTAGAGAAGCATTCTGGATCACACATGGAAGGAAGACAAAGAGGTCTGACTCATGCTAGGGGACAAACGGGGCTCGTGTGCTTGGCAGAGATCATGGTCTCCCTGGGGATGGAATTCCATGGCTACAAGGGAGACTTCAGAGGTTTCTTTCCCCAAATCCACCCTGCCCACTGAGTGAAGCCCCATATTCCCTTGTGAGACACATTTTCTTTTGTTTAAATGCCCGAGGCTTCTCAAAATGCAAATTTTCCTGATCAGGTCACATTTTGAGTCATTCTAAGTCCTTTATACTTTAGCCTAAATAAAGAATCAAATAAATAATCTTGATAGGAGTGTGTGTGTGTGTGTGTGTGGGAGAGAGAGAGAGAGAGAGAGAGAGAGAGAGAGAGAGAGGCAGAGGCAGGCAGGCAGAGAGAGAAAGAGATGTGCAAAGAAACTTGAGAATTCCTGGATGTCTTTGGAGTAAGGGTGATGGCGAGACTGCAGGAATAGTTGCAGCATGGGCAAGACTGGAGGCCAGAAATCAAACTCGACCTACTTTTCATGTTTGTTCATAGCACCAGCTCTGGTTGGGGCCAGTGCTGTGGCATAGCGGGTAAAGCCGTCGCCTGCAGTGCCAGCATCCTATGTGGGCGCATGCGTGCGCATGCACACACACACACACACACACACACTCCTATCAAGATCATTTGATTTTTCATTTAGTACAAAGGACTTAGAATGACTCAAAATGTGACCTGATCAGGAAAATTTGCATTTTGACAAGCCTCAGGCATTTAAACAAAAGGAAATGCATCTCACAAGGGAATATGGGGCTTCATTCAGTGGGCAGGGTGGATTTGAGAAAAGAACCCCCTGAAGTCTCTCTTATAGTTATGGAATTACATCCCTAGGGAGGCCATCATCTCTGCCAAGCACACAAGCCCTGTTTGTCCGCTAGCACGAGCTGGTTCTTGGCTTCTCCACTTCCAATCCAGTTCTCACCTATGGTCTGGGAAAGCAGTGGAAGATGGCCCAAGTCCTAGGGCCCCTGCACCCATGTGGGAGGCCCAGAAGAAGCTCTTGGCTTTGGATCGGTGCAGCTCTGGCCGTTGTGGCCAATTGGGGAGTGGACCAAGGGATGGAAGACCTCTCTCTCTCTGTGTAACTCTTTCAAATAAATAAATAAAATTTTTTTTTAAAGAACCAGCTCTAGGTAGAAGATGAAGCATGCTTCTGTTTAAGGATCAGATTTTCAGAAGAAAAAAGCCACAACTTGTAGTATTTGCTGATTCCTCCAGTGTAAATACTCCTATTCCTACCCACATGACAGCACCAAAAGTGAAGTGGAGGTGGGGGGAATGTGCATAACCATCTCTGGTGAGCTGTAACAGCTGGGTCCAGCACACCATGGGGAAAGCTTCTGTTTGTAGGATGAGGTCAAGTGCAATTAGTTTGGGTAGAAATCAGGTGCTCAAGGTCCCTTGTCTTGTCTGGGGGCTCTGAGACGGGAGCTATCCTCAAGTGGGTGCTGACCAGGCCTGATTTATTTTGGCCTGTAGTTATTCACAAGGAAAAACTCTTTGTCATGATGGTTGCCTGGGCCAGGCATCCTGGATCCTTCAAAGACGACAGAGATTCAGACACCTGGGAAGTGTGGGGTTTGGATTCTTGAACACAGTACTTCTTGGGTGAAGGGTAAGTGCCTCTGGATGCACCGGGCTGAAAGCTAAGCACACACAATCTCCCAGATGGCAGCGGTACATCCAGATTCAACTTGGTGATTCACAGCGTGAGTTGTGTTAACCTTTTAAGAAAGATGTCCGTGATGAATGAAGCCATCCATGTGAATCTGAATGGATAGGAGAGCTCTTAGCCCTGGTGCATTCTAATCATCTGGGGAGCTTTTAAAACACACTGATGTCCAGGCAAATGTCTGACTAATCCAGAGTCTTTGGGAGTGGGAATCTACACCTGATATTTGATAAAATGTGTTGATTGCAACGAGTGTTCAGGGTTGAGAGCAGCCGCTCAGGATGGTGGCTCTCCCTCCCTCCCAGCTGGAGTTTCACTATTATACACAGCCCAAATTTCCAAAAATAGTAGGCATTCCCAATCCTAAGTCCCAGCAAAGGTACTCACATGAATCCATTGGTTAAACACAGCTGCCTCGGAGAGAAATGACAATTCCTTATTCATATCGGCAAGGGCGGGTGGGTGGAGCGAGAACACAAGAGAAGGAACAGTGAGATGCGGAGCTGCAGGGGCTGTGTGACAGCCCACACGTCGCCGTCCCGGGGCTGGGCATGCTTTCCTGCCAGCCTCGCCCATGTCCCGGGGAAGCGGGGGCCCAGCAAACTGGATTTCTGTTGCTGGAGCCGCATATTCTCTTACTCACAGGGGGCTCGAGTATCCTCTATACTCAAAGAACTCCAGAAACTTCAGCTGAAGTAAAGACCCAGAACCAGAGTTCTGGTTAGAAGAGCTTGGCCACCCAGCCTCTCTGTAGGGCCACCAAACCCAGCCTACAGTCCCTTTCAGAGCCAATGCTGAGTAGCATCTTGGAGCATGGACTCAGCCTGCTGGGTTTTCATTCCGCCATTTCCTTGTTCCTTCACCAACTTACTTAATGGGCCTCAGTTGTCCCATCTATAAAATGGGGGAAAATAAAAGCTCCAGTTCGTAGGTGAGAGAAATAGAGGAGTTAATGTTTTAAAGGGCTTGAAATTGAGGCTGTCATGCTGTAGGAAAGCCTCAGTTTAAGCCGCACTTGTTTCTAATTGACTTGCTGTTGAATTTTTTTTTCTGTAGAACTTATTAACATATATATTGAACTGCCACCACTGGCATTGGGGTAGTGTGAAGGGAGGATGTAAGATATGAAGGGGAGAAAACGCCCTTCTGCTCTTATATAACTTGCAGTTATTTTGGGGAAATGAAGGCTTGAAAAGATAACAACATTGCCAGTGGCCCAGTGACACGTGAAGGTGTGACAGGGTTAAAGTAATAAAAAAGAAAGCCCTGCACTTGGAGTCAAACAAGACTGGGTTCAATTCCTGGGTCTGCTGTCTGCTTGCTGTGTGATCTTAGGTAAGCAGCATAACCTCACTGAGAGCCCAAGAGCCTTATCTAAAGAGATGAGGCTCTCCTCCTGGATATGAAAATGAGGTACATTCATGCATGCAAGATTATCTTAGAACTATATTAAATGCTTCAATAAATGGCAATAGCAAGTACACACAACTTATATAAAAATGATGCACATCAGAACTGTCCCAATTCCTTTAGAAAATACTTGAGGTTGTTGAATAAGTTAGTACATACATGCTAAAAAGCACATTTATGGATAAATGAGTAAGTACAAGAGCTGAGATATCTGCACACCCCCTGTAGGGGCAGTTTAGGGGGGTGGAGGCCTGTGCTGGATATGAACTGAGGTGAGAGGCTGGGCCCTGGGGACCGAGGAACCTGGGCAGGTGTGGAGCTGGGACAGTGACAGGTAAGCCAGGAGAGCGCTGTTGAGTGAAGTGCGAAGGCAGCTGGGGTTCAAGGCTGAACATGTGGACTTCATCTTGTTTGTTGCAGGAAGAGAGGGACCCAGTGAAATTAGAGTTTCAGAAAATGTGGCCCATGGACAGTGGGAGAACATTCTAGAGTCTGTGCTCCATGATCTGCTGTCAGGAGATGGCCCCTTGGCCGGAGACCCCTAGTGGGTGGGAGGGCGAGGTCCGGGGTGCAGGGCAGCTCCAGGAAGGAGCCCGGGGACCAAGTGTTTGGATGGGTGCTGGGTGCTGGGGGATTGCTGGGCTGGAGCTGTTCAGAGGGAAGAGGGGCAGAAACCAAACTGCAGGGAACTGAACAAAGTGAGTGATGAGCTACGGTGCTTGCTATGTGAGCACAGGTGGAGTAGTCCACGCTGGAGCTCAAGTGCTTGGGCTTAAGCTAAGGGTTGGGTCCCTCACTCTGAGGCTGAGGGAGCCTAGGCAAGTCTGCTTAGCCCCTTAGTTTCCACACCTGGAAAATGGGCATAACCATAACCCCACCCTCAGAGGGCCGCTGGGAGGCTAATGAGGGCACTGCTATGTGGAAGCTGCGTGGTACGCAAAGTGGTTCCTATAGGCACACATGCATGCACAGCGGTTGACCTTGCACACAAAAGGTGCTCAGACATGCACATGTGCACGAACATGTGCCTGCTACTCAAATATGTTCTCACAAAAACATGTACGTGCACAAATGTGTGCCTGATAAACAGAAGGTGCTCACACTCACATGCATGCACATGTACCCAAAGACAGAGGCAGGCACAGGTGTGTTGGGTCCCCAGGCACCAAACTAGACAGGAGAGCCAAGAGCTCTGGGCAGAGGCTAGGTAGGTAGAGTAGCAAGAAAGAGACCTCGGAACTACTGGGCAGCCAGAAGGTACCAGATCAGAGTTAGCCCACAGAGCGGCAAGCCCCTGGGAGAAGCCGCTTGCTGCCCATAACTTCTCCTGGAGCCAATGACATGTAGAAGGATGCTTTACAGGTTTCTCAGCTAAGGGGCTTGCACTCCCTCTGGGCTTTGCGTTCGTCATCTGTCCCGTAGCTGAGGACTTACCACCGCTGCATTTCCATAGCACAGGAGGCCGTCACCTTCATAGCCCTCCCGGCAGACACAGCTCCAGACACCCGCCGCAGCAAGCTGACAGGTCGCCTGGTGAAACCAAGACAGGAGATGCGCTTTGCTTTCCTAACATGACAGTTCGGCAGCCACAGACTCCCTCTGCAGTGAGAGCCACAAATTTAGGGCTGGAATATGGATGCAGTGGCTCAGATCCTGAATGCTGCAAAGATGGGCTTCCGCCTGCTTGTTCGGTGCACTCTTATTTAATCACAGTGAAAATCTCTTCATTCCCACCTGATTTAGCAATTTAAAAAAATACAGGACTCCACAGGTAAATTTGAGTTTCAGATAAATGATGAGGACTTTTTAATGTAAGGTTGTCCCATGCAAATTTGGGACTTACCTGTGCTGAAAGATTGCTGTTTATTTGAAATCCAAATTTAACTGGGAACCCTGTATTTTATTGGGCAATCATATGTCAGTTCCTGTGAGCCCTGGGGTGAAAGTTGGGAGGACTACTCACATTCTGCTTAGGTGCTCCCCTTGGAGGAAGGAGAGATTTTGTTCATCACCAGGCCCAGACTAGGACTAACCTAACTTGTTTCTTTCACAAGTGTTTTTAAAAATAAGTCATGAAAAATAAAGTGATAAAACTCACCAGTGGATGACATATGCTGGCTTGTTCCAAGCAAGAAACGATTGGTTCACAGTCAATGCCACTTCCTCGAAACCCGCTCTTGCACTCACACTCATTCTGGAATGGCAAGGGCAGAGTCAGAGGGCATTCTTGAAAGCAAGCACCATGCACCCCTTGCCCTCATGAGGCCCTGAAGCGTGAGTATGGAAACCGTAACTGTTCAGCCCTTATAGAGGATAACCTTAATGTCTTGTTTGTTACAATTCAGAATCCAGAGCTGTTAGTCTTTACACATTCCACATGGCATTTTCCAATCTGACAGTTCCTTGTACTATCCTTTTTTAATTCTTTACTCCAAAAGGGACCATGGAGACAGCTTCCAAGAGAACTTAGTCCCTAAAACACATGACTTTGGAAAAGCTGATCTTTCTAAGAAAACAAAGGCCAAGCACGCCATGGGGTGTCCACTTGGTGGGAGCCAGGCACAAATCCACTGCTATTCTAGAAAGTGCTTTGTCCAGCTAGGAAAAGGCACCACCTCTGGGCGGGGGAATTTGACTAAGGCTTCACCTGCACCGGAGCAACCCACAGGCAGATGGCAGCTTTATGCAACACAAGTGCCCCTTCCTCTGGGGAGGTTTAGGCCCACACCAGGTGGGATGTGGGCAGTATTCCAGGCCCTGTTCCCCATAGGCTAGGCTGGCACAAACTAAATCATGGAACCAGCGGCTGCTGCTGCCACTGTGACAAATACTGAAATGTCTGTGTTGAGTGCAGTCAAGGAACCAACAAAAGTACAGCTGATTACAGCAATGTAAAGGAAACAGAAATTAAAAAGAAGGAAAATACATATCAACAATGAATGGTGATGTGGGGGTGTTGTGATTTTAATTTTTCCTACTTTTGTTTTCTTAAATTTAAGCATTTTGAAAATATAATTTAAAAAGGAGTAATTCCTTCAATGGATTAATTAAAAGACAACTATTTTGGAACTATTACGGAACCAGCAACAAATTTCAAGAAAGACAAAGAATAAAAAAGTAACTAAGAAAGATCCAAGCAACTAAGAAAGATCCAAGCTAAACACACACTGGGAAACAAGAGCTGGTCCAAGTTTTATGGATTAACTGGCACACGAGGTGCTCACATAAGGACCACGGTTGCTCAGGGCAGGTTCTTCCGGGACAGGGGACACAGGGCGTGGCTGGACCATGGGTGAGGAGAGGAGAGGTGGGAAAGGCATTCATGCTGAGGGTGAACATCAGGATAAGGGAACAGAGGAGGGAAAGCACGAGTGTTTGATTAGAGGAGGGTTATTCATGAACTGATCTCACCCCTGAGGTGATACACAACAACCCATTAGGTTGTGGGAAGAATTAAATAGGATTTCTCTTTGTAAATTTTTTTTAAATCTAAAAAGGTACAAGGATCATCTGCTAGGTATTCTTTTGTGTCTTTTATACCTGCATGAGTGCACGGTTTACAAAGACACACCTACAGAGCTGTACATGGCAGAGCAACACTGCACTGACAAGGCTGTGCAATCTTCACCTTGTTCTGGGGTAACACCTGTTGGTGAAACCAGTGCCGTCTTTTATTTTTTTATTTTTTTGACAGGCAGAGTGGACAGTGAGAGAGAGAGAGACAGAGAGAAAGGTCTTCCTTTGCCGTTGGTTCACCCTACAATGGCCGCCGTGGCCAGCGCGCTGTGGCCAGCGCACCGCGCTGATCCGAAGGCAGGAGCCAGGTGCTTCTCCTGGTCTCCCATGGGGTGCAGGGCCCAAGCACTTGGGCCATCCTCCACTGCACTCCTGGGCCACAGCAGAGAGCTGGCCTGGAAGAGGGGCAACCGGGACAGAATCCGGCGCCCCGACTGGGACTAGAACCCCGGGGTGCCAGCACCGCAAGGCGGAGGATTAGCCTAGTGAGCCGCGGCGCCGGCCACCAGTGCCGTCTTATCTGAGGTGCCACCTTAAGCCTCGGGTGCATTTCAGAAGCCCAGCCTGACTTACTAGCGATCAGATGACTGGATAGCCCAATCATATGTGTTGCCTTCACCCTATCCAATGGAATTTACTGTTCTCACTCCCTCATTTCTGCTGGACTATATAAGATCCATTCTTCTAGTGTGGAGTGCTGTTTCTCTTGTGCACGGAGAGGCAGCCTTGTTGGCCTACAATAACCTCTCCCTTACTCCGTGTTTGGTGTTTGGTGTGTTCTGGTGTGGCTTTTCCTTTCACTGGTGCTGTGACTTGGATCTAGGCTCTCCCATCAACCTTGCTCTCTCCTTGGAATCTGAGCTGCTTCGGGATCCTGGATTCCTGCCAACCACAAAACCACCCTGGAGCTCCTTCTTCACCACCAAGCACTCTGATCTCCATCCACACTGGCTTTCAAAATTTATGAGGCAAGACAGGGTGGGCAGAGGATTGTCTCATTGCAACTTTCTATGGGATGTGGTTCTACGTGACTTCACCCCCAAAGTCCTGGTACCAGGCACCACAACTCCTATGGCCTCATGCCTCTAAAAACTTTGTGTCCTGGGAAACAGTGGGTGTGGGTGATGATTCAACCTATTTCCTTCCTATGGACTCTACACTCTGGGCTCCAGTGAGTGTGGGTGATGACCCCCACCCTCTGTTCCCTTACTCTCCTTGTTGGACTGACGTGATCTCGGGGACACCTGCTATCCGCCAGCCTGACCTCTACAGGTCATGATGGGAGCTTCCTCAACCCGCATTCCATCTGATTCTCCTAAATAATCTTGTTCCTCTGGAATTGGCTCCAGACCTCAAACACAACAGCCTCATCTTTCTTTGTGATCAGACCTGGCCCAAGTATGACCTCAACAACCAGTGCAAATGGTTGCTTAATGGCATGATCAACCTTGACATTGTTCAGGATCTCTACCACTTCTGTGAGTGTTTAGGAAAATGGAAGGAGATTCTCTATGTACAGGCTTTACTTTATCTCTGGCCTAAACCTCTCTCTGCACTTCATGTTACCTGCCTCAGGTCCTCTTAGCCACCAAGGTCCCCACTAAATATTCAGAACCAAAGCCCCTTTGTTCTATGTTCAACCCTGCAGATGTGCCCCGCCCTTACTGCCATCCACCACAGGCACCAGCTCAACCACTCCCTGCTCAGACCCTGACACAATCCCCTCCCACTCATCAATCTCCAGACCCACTGCCCACTCTGGCACCATCTGCTCTGGCTTTCACTATCTCACCAACACTTCCCCCTCCTGCTCAGGAATTCCAGGGCATGACATCCATTCTACTCCCCACTAATCTCCACTCCCCCTGCCTTATCAAACCCCATCCTCTCTGCAACTTTCACTCTCCCCAGTTCTGCTAAGCCAACATCCTGTCCCTGCCTTGCCACAGCCACCTCACACCCTTGACCCCCCCCACCCCCCATCCTGTTCCCAGTCCCCAAGTCACTCATTCTTGTATGGCAGCTAGCAGGCCTGCTTCCATGTTACCCATCTAAGAATTTGTGGGGGCAGAGGGCACAGTCAGGGTCCATGTTCCTTTTTCACTTGCTGATGTCTCACAAATCAAACAAAAACTGGGCTCCTTCACCTGTATCCCAATGTCATACATCAAGGAGTTTCAATATTTAATCCAGTCATAGGACCTAACTTTTCGTGATGTCTTTATGATCTTCTCCAACACCCTCCTTCTGCAGGAGCAAAGGCGAATTTGGGAACAGGCCTGTCTCCATGCTGATGAGACCCATCAAAATGACCCTGCCTGTGGCCAGCGCCCTGGCACAGCAGGTTAATCCACCACCTGTGGTGCCGGCATCCCATATGGGCAGTTCTAGTCCCGGCTGCTCCTCTTCCAATTCAGCTCTCTGCTATGGCCTGGGAAAGCATTAGAAGATGGCCCAAGTCCTTGGGCCCCTGCACTTGAGTGGGAGCCTGGAAGAAGCTCCTGACTCTAGGCTTCGGTCGGCGCAGCTCCGGCCATTGTGGCCAACTGGGAAGTGAACCAGCAGGCAGAAGATTTTTCTTATGTCTCTCCCTCTAGTTGTCTGTAACTTTATCTCTCAAATAAATAAATAAAATCTTTAAAAAAATGACCCTGCCCATCCCATAGGAGCAGATGTGGTCCCAGAACAGGATCCCAATTGGAATTACAACTCTCCTGATGGCATAACAGCCAGAAATCATTTCATTATCTACTTATTAGCTAGTCTCAAAAAATCCACAAGAAAGGCTTCAAATAATGATAAACTGGGAGAAGTTATTGAAGATAAAAAAGAAAATCCTTCTGCCTTTTTACAGTGCCTCACACAGACTTTCCTCCAATATACCAACCTAGATCCAGAGTCTCCCAATAGTTGTAACCTTGTCATGAATCATTTCTTTGCTCAAAGTTTCCTTGATATCAAGACAAAGCAGCTCAAAAAGGGCCCACTACCTCTGCAGGCAGAAACCCCAGAGGTGGCCTTTGAAGTACAATGGGAGGGATGAGAGAGCCCAAAAGACAAAATTCCAAATGCTGGTCAAGGCTTTCCAGCAACTTGCTGCCACCAGTAACCCTGCTGGCCACAGGGATCCTCTGGGTTTGTGCTTCAAGTGTGGCCAAATGGGCAACTGGGCCAGAATGTGTCCCAACCTCAGAGACCCCACTGGGTCCTTGTCCTAAATGTCGCCAGAAGGGTCACTTGGGGGTGGACTATCCTCTTGTCCAGCTAGTCAGTAGGCCATCTATTCCACCTATCTCCCTCTTCCTCTCCCTCTCCCTGACCTTCTAGGGCTGGCCACTGAGGACTGAAGGAGCCTAGACTCCTGCTGCCTGTCTATGGCCATCACTCTGCAGGAGCCCAGGGTAACTATGAGGGTAGCAGGTAGGCCAATTTCTTTTCTTACTGATACAGGGACAACCTTCTCGATCTTTACCCAATATTCAGGACTCACCTCTGCTGCCTCAGCCTCCACAGTCAGGGTGGAGGGAAAACCTCACAGACCCCTATAGACTCAACCTACTCTGCATGATTAACATAACGCCCTTCTCCCACTCTTTTCTGGTTGTACCTCAATGCTGTAACCCTCTTGGGAAGAGACATACTCTATCAGTTTGGTGCTCAGGTGGTTTTCACTCTCCG